TCCTCGACGTGTTTCACTTCCCCTTATATATTCTTTTGACAAAAGCCGAACTTGATTTTTGTTTAAGGTGAATTGAAACACCTTTCGAATCAGTTGATACGAATACAACACTTCTTTTTAAGGGTATTAGACCAAACTGTCCGAAACTTTGACACATCACTCCTGATCATCTAAGAATTGTCCTGATACATTCAAAATTTGGATTGTTCAAAACAATTTTTTAACTTAGCCCAGACCAGAACCAAAATGGCGTCGAGCTCTCATATTTCGATCAATATACAATTATCGAAGACTCTGATATGAGAAACGAAAGGGTCAGGACAATTTTACGACAATTTAGAACACTCTGGTAATCGAAAAACTCGCATTTGAACGAGATAAAGGCAAAAAAGTGTTGTATGCGCTTCTATGCCTAAAACGATGGGAATACGAGGTCTCGGAGTGAAAATTTAATTGACCTGGAAATCACAGATGGCGCAGGGGGTCCCTCTGCAGTCAATTAGGGCCCCAGAAAGCATGAATCCAGAGGATCTCTGGAGCTTTACTTCGATTTCTTTATAATTACTGTACGAAAACGACAGGTGGAGTATGTCATTTGGTACAATACCCAATATAATTCGACCCAGCTGTCAATATAAAAACGAACGTCGGCAACGTAGGCATTTAGAAAAATCTTCTTTATCGACGTCGACCAAGTTCCTCGACGTGTTTCACTTCACCTTAATGAGTCTTTTTCCGAAAATTCGAGCCGCGCTTCGTCGAGTCCAACCGCGTGTCTAAGTTTAACACTTAGAGAGTCCCGGAAAATGGCCAGCTATGAATAGGTCTCGGTCTGACCCCGCTGCCCTCGGGGGTTTATTTATACCGAGCTTTTCAATTTCCTTCGAGTGCAGATGGAAGTACATATACGTCCAATTAAAATGAACCGAGGGTCTGGTCCCGGCACTTCCTGCTCAGATTCCAGAGACAATAATAGCGATATAGAGGATACCGGGCGAAACTATCCAACACGCGCAGAGCCCGACACCCTGGTTTACCATTCCATAGCCTGGCATTTCAAAAGGAAAACCAATGTTGTTCCACTCGGCCCTCCGCTCGCGACGATGACGTACAAAGCTCTATTTTTACCCCTCCCCGACTTTTTTCACAAAAAACCTGCGGCTCTGGATACCTCCACTGGGCGCGTGGCTAGAACTCGGCGAGAATTCTGGACAAAATTCGCCAAGTATCGAAATTCTAGTCAATTAGTGCTCGGTCTATTTTACTAACATTTAAAAACGATCGAATTCGTCATTTGAGTTATCAAACAATCGGGGTTTACGCGATTCTTTGGGAATGTTTTTTTTTTTCAGCTAAATCTTCTGCAAAAGATTCGCTATATATCAAATTATCGAAATTCTGGTCAATTAGTACTCGGTCTATTTTACTAACATTTAAAAACGTTCGAATTCGTCATTTCAGTTATCAAAAGTCGGGGTTTACGCTATTCTTTGGGAACGTTTTTTTTTTTCAGCGAAATCTTCTGAAAAACGTTCGCCATATATAAAACTATCGAAATTCTAGTCAATTAGTGCTCGGTCTATTTTACTAACATTTAAAAACGATCGAATTCGTCATTTCAATTTCCAAAAAAATCGGGGTTTACGCGATTCATTGAGAACGTTTTTTTTTTTTTTCAGCGAAATCTTCTGTAAAAGATTCGCTGTATGTCAAATTATCGAAATTCTGGTGAATTAGTGTTCGCTTTGTTTTCCTAAATATCGTTCCTAAATATTGTTATCCTAATATCTGCTCTATTATTTTAAAATTCCTAGACGTGTAAATTTGTAAATCCAGTTCCCAGAAAATTAGTATTCCCTCGGTTGGGGGTGAATATCTAGTTTTTCAGCGAAATGTACAAAGGTTTCGCCATTATAATTCCTTAACAATAAAGTCAACTAATATCTGCTCTATTATTTTAAAATTCCTAAACGTGTAAATTTGTTAAATCCAGTTCCCAGAAAATTAGTATTCCCCCGGTTGGGGGTGAATATCTAGTTTTTCAGCGAAGTGTACAAAGGTTTCGCCATTATAATTCCTTAACAATAAAGTCAACTAATATCTACTCTATTTTTCTAAAATTCCTAAACGTGTAAATTTGTAAATCCAGTTCCCAGAAAATTCGTATTCCCCCGGTTGGGGGTGAATATCTAGTTTTTCAGCGAAATCTACAAAGGTTTCGCCATTATAATTCCTTAACAATCAAGTCACCTAATATCTGCTCAATTTTTCTAAAATTCCTAAACGTGTAAATCTATAAATCCAGTATCCAGAAAATCGGAGTAGACCCGATTGGGAACGAATGTCTGGTTTTTCATCTAAATCTGCAAAGTGAGCGGCGTCGATCGACGCGGAAGATCCTCGACCTACCCCTGAGTTGTCTAGGAACCGTGACCTAGGCCAACACCGAACCTGCGACATTGACAAGGACCGCAATAAACATTGAACAAGGCGTCGATTTACACGAAATTTCACACTTAACACAAAAGGGGATGCGTGAAAAGTCGGATACCAAGACCCGCTTGATTTTGGGGTGCCACAGTCGATAGAGGCACCACCGACAAACGGGAGACGAGAAGAGGGGTTTCGTTATACACATTTATTTGCCACGTCGCCGAGGGTCCTTGTGGGTTTAGGTTCTCGTTAGGTAACGATAAATAACGCTGGAGACAAGAAAAACAACGAAGGTCCGCAATTATGGGGCGCCTCTGCGAGGTGACACAAAGGGGTGCGACACGGCCATGGGGAACGATGGGAGAGCTTTTTCGTCCCCATAGATTTTAAAGCTCCCTTCGTTCGTCTGCCACTTCGGATGGTTTCGCTGGAAATCTTTAATTGTTCCTTGTTTGCGGATGGAACGGCGTTTTTTATATTCGTGCCGTTGGGTGGGATCGTCCCTTGGACCACCTTAGCTTCCTCTTCCGGTTGCGAACCGCTTATGTCTTTTATCTTTTAATTTCGGTACTCGTAGTTGTTCGTTTTTCGGTACTTTTTGTCGGTTTTTTTTTTCGCTTTTTGAGACACCGAGTGCACACGTTCCTTCGGGAGTTGTGGTCGGAGTAGAGTGTGGAAGTAGAGACTTCGCCGTGCGATCCTTGCTCTGAATTCGATCGGGCGACAGTCGTACGTACGTTTACAAGGTTTAGGATACGTTTACGAGATGGAAACGAATCCGAAGCGGCACGATCGCCACGAATCGACGAATTTACTCGTGCCTGTCGGCAATCGAACTCAACAACAAGGGGTGACAGAAAGCGTGGAGGGTTCTCGGCGAAGGGTTGGTCAACGTCTCGCTCATTTCGCTCGACTAATTGGAACCGATCGTCCCAAAATCTATACATTCGCATACAAAACCTAGAATATTAAAAAGTACCGATAAGCGTCCCATTTACAGGTCAAAATCTATCCACTCACATACAAAACCTAGGATAATAAAAAAAAATACCGATAAGCGTCCCATTTTTAGGTCTTCCGATCGTCCGAAAATCTATCGATTCACATACAAAACCTACAATATTAAAAAAGTATCGATAAGAGTCCCATTTTCAAGTATTCCGATCGACCCAAAATCTATCCATTCGCATACAAAACCTGGAATATTAAAAAGTACTGATAAGCGTCCCATTTTCAGGTCAAAATCTATCCACTCACATACAAAACCAAGAATAATAAAAAAAAATACCGTTAAGCGTCCCATTTTCGGTATTCCGATCGTCCCAAAATTTATACATTTACAGACAAAACCTAGAGTAATAAAAAAATACCGATAAGCGTCCCATTTTTAGGTCTTCCGATCGTCCAAAAATCTATCCATTCGCATACAAAACCTGGAATATTAAAAAGTATCGATAAGAGTCCCATTTTCAATTATTCCGATCGTCCCAAAATCTGTCTATTCACATACAAAACCTAGAATATTAAAAAAGTACCGATAAGCGTCCCATTTTCAGTCTTCCGATCGTCCCAAAATCTATACATTTACAGACAAAACCTAGAGTAATAAAAAAAATACCGATAAGCGTCCCATTTTCAGGTCTTCCGATCGTCCCAAAATCTATCCATTCACATACAAAACCTACAATATTAAAAAAAGTATGGATAAGAGTCCCATTTTCAATTATTCCGATCGACCCAAAATCTGTCTATTCACACACAAAACCTAGAATATTAAAAAAGTACCGATAAGCGTCCCATTTTCAGGTATTTCGATCGTCCCAACATCTATCAATTTACATACAAAACCTACAATATAAGAAAAAACTGCTGATAAGCGCTCCATCCCTGAAGAGGAATATGAAAGTGGCATTTGAGGGATCAATCTTTCATGAAACATTTTTCCGAAACCGAATGTACCAAATCGCTTCAAACTGCATAATGTGAACACAGAGGCTACAAGACGTGTTCCGACACCCATGAAACTTCATTTTCTTAAAAACTTTGAACGACATCTACAAATAAATTAAATAAAATTGAAAATTCATGTGTACCAGGACCTTCCCTATATCCCCTACACTCACGTTATAAAATTTGAAACGATTCTGTGCACCCACTTCGGAGAAGTTTCATAAACGAGAGGTCTTTGCCATTTTCACATCCCCTTAACCTCAGCTCCATTAACAAAACTCAACCTCTTCCATAAACTGGACCATAAACCTCTGATTAAATCCCAGAAATGGTACTTAGCGCCTATCCTTCATTCCAGGAATCGTATGGAATCTCTTAGGGTCTTAAAGTTAAAAAAATCTCCATTATTTTTCCAATAAAAAGGAACGTTTATACTCTGCAGATTCGAGCAACCAGAGCGAGTCGTTGACGTCCACCCTCCCAGATGAAAGTGGGGTAGTTAGATACCGGGGCACACAGAGATATCTCCCGTGTGGTTAGTGGCATACTCCTAGTAGTGGATTATGACAAAATGGTTAATAATGAGTGATCGGCTCCAGGCAAGAGTAGATACTGACCGTGATGGTGTAGGAGGACGCGAGCGGCCGCGAGTAGGGTCGTCGAGTCGTGTAAAAGTCGCTTTCGTAAACCATCTTGGCTCGTTTGGCTCCGCCTTCGAAAGGGTGATACCTCTGCAGACTCCTTGGGGTCGGAAGGGCTGGTTGCTTGGGTGGTTCTGCCTTTTGAGGCACTCGGTGCCTTTGTTCGAGAGAATGCGAGACTCTAGGGGATGCCCTAACGATGCGGACGCGCTAGGAGTTCGTACGGTTGTGTCGAGCGGACTTGGACGCCTTGAACGCCCAGCGTCGAGACGCCGCCTCCGCTTCTCTCCCCTCGCTCGGTTACGTCATTTTCGGCACACGGCCTGATGCATCGAAAGAAATAGAATCGTGTTAAGGTTGCACACCCACTTTTTGTTTTTTCCCTGGAGGCCTCGAGCGTTATAGCTGGACCCTAGGATTGGGCCAGATTGACCGAGGACCTAAAAGGATGGTCCAAGATGGTGTTGATCAAAGGATCAGGTCTTTTCTTGGCTCCTATTAAGGGTTGAAACGTTAATCGCAGGTTTCAGAACAATGAGAGGCCGGAATGGGACCCTAGCTTGAGTTAGATTGACCAAGGACCTGAAAGGATGGTCCAAGATGGTGTTGATCGAAGGATCAAGGCTTTTCTAGGATCCTTTTAAGGGTTTAAACGTTAAGCGCAGATTTCAGAACAATGAGAGGCTGGAAAGGTACCCTAGCGTGAGTCAGATTGATCAAGGACCTGAAAGGATGGTCCAAGATGGTGCTGATCGAAGGATCAAGGCTTTTCTCGGGTCCTTTTAAGAATTTAAACGTTAAGCGCAGATTTCCGAACGATGAAAAGCTGGCAAGGTACCCTAGCGTGAGTCAGATTGACCAAGGACATGAAAGGATGGTCCAAGATGGTGTTGATCAAAGGATCAGGGCTCTTCTTGGCTCCTATTAAGGTTTGAAACGTTAATCGCAGGTTTCAGAACAATGAGAGGCCGGAATGGTACCCTAGCTTGAGTCAGATTGACCAAGGACATGAAAGGATGGTCCAAGGTGGTGCTGATCGAAGGATCAAGGCTTTTCTCGGGTCCTTTTAAGGGTTTAAACGTTAAGCGCAGGTTTCAGAACAATGAGAGGCTGGAATGGGACCCTAGCTTGAGTCAGATTGACCAAGGACCTGAAAGGATGGTCCAATATGGTGTTGATCAAAGGATCAAGGCTTTTCTCGAGTCCTTTTAAGGGTTTAAACGTTAAGCGCAGGTTTCTCAATAATGGAAGGCTAGAAAGGTACCCTAGCTTGAGCTAGATTGACCAAGGACCTAAAAGGATGGTCCAAGATGGTGTTGATCGAAGGATCAGGGCTTTTCTTGGCTCCTTTTAAGGATTTAAACGTTAAGCGGAGATTTCTCAATAATGGAAGGCTAGAAAGGTACCCTAGCTTGAACTAGATTGACTAAGGGCCTGAAAGGTTGGTCCAAGATGGTGTTGATTGAAGGATCAGGGCTTTTCTCGGATCCATTTAAGAGTTTAAACGTTAAGCACAGGTTTTCGAACGATGAAAGGCTGGCAAGGTACCCTGGCTTGAGTCAGATTGACCAAGAACCTGGAACGATGATCCAAGATGTTGCTGATCGAAGGATCATGGCTTTTCTTGACTCCTATGAAGGGTTGAAACGTTAAGCGTAGGTTTCAGAACAATGGGAGGCTGGAAAGGTACCCTAGCTTGATTCAGATTGACCAAGGACCTGCAACAACGATCCAAGATGGTGCTGATCGAAGGATGAGGGGTTTTCTTGGCTCCTTTTAAGATGAAGTGAAAAATCAGTCGATTCGAATAAGCCTTTTTTTATTGTATTGGTATTGGATCGAACCGTCTGAAACTTTGACACATTACTCGTGAGCACCTAGGAATTATCGAGGCACTTTCAAAATTTGGTTTTTTGAAAAAATGTAACTTAGCCCAGACGAACCAAAATGGCGTGAGCTCTCGTATTTTTATCAATATACAATTATTGAAGGCTCAAATATGAGAAACGAAACGGTCAGGACAATTGTACAGCAATTTAGAACACTCTAGTTCTCACAATTCTTAGATGATCACGAGTAATGTGTCAAAGTTTCGGACAGTTTGGTCCCATACCCCTAAAAAAAAGTTTTGTATTCGAATCGACTGATTTGAAGGGGGTTTCACTTCACCTTAAAAAGAAAAAAAAATATATTATTTTATGACATACTGTTTCGAATTTAATGTATACTGTTTCTATCAAATGGTATACTGTTTCTAATTGAATTCATACTGTTTCCAATTTTTAAAAGATGTAGCCATTAATATTACGTGAGAAATATTAATCTTGCTCTTATCAACTAGGAAGAAATTACTTCTTCCTAATCCGAATTGACCAAGAACTTAGACTTTGATCAAGCAAGGTCGACTAACAGTTTGGGGATGCCAAATTCGTCAGCTGTCCCGATTCTTCTTCGGTGAAAATTAGATATCGCCTTTGCCAAACATCTATTGTATCCTTAAGGTGAAGTGAAACCCCCTTCAAATCAGTCGATTCGAATACAACACTTTTTTTTAAGGGTATTGGACCAAACTGTCTGAAACGTTGACACATGACTCGTGATCATCTAGGAATTGTCTGGACACATTGAAAATTTGGATTTTTGGAAAACATTTTTTAACCTCGCCCAGACCAAAACCAAAATGGCGTCGAGCTATCATATTTCGATCATTATGCAATTATTGGTGACTCTGATATGAGAAACGAAAGGGTCAGGACAATTGTACGACAATTTAGATCACTTTGGTAATCGATCAAGGGTTGAGCAATACTTTGGAGGTTTTCGGGATAAATAAAGTGGAATGATATTATCTTTGCTATCTCTTAAGATGAAGTGAAACACGTCGAGGAACTTGATCGACGTCGATAAAGAAGATTTTTCTAAATGCCTACGTTGCCGCCGTTCGTTTTTATATTGACAGCTGGGTCGAATTATATTGGGTATTGTACCAAATGGCATACTCCACCTGTAGTTTTCGTATTAAAATTATAAATAAATCTAAGTAAAACTCCAGAAATCCTCTGGATTCATGATTTCTGGGGCCCTAATTGACTTTACAGGGACCCCCTGCGCCATCTGTGATTTCCAGGTCAATTAAATTTTCACTCCGAGACCTCGTATTCCCATCGTTTTAGCATAAAAGCGCATACAACACTTTTTTTGCCTTTATCCCGTTCAAATGCGAGTTTATCGATTACCAGAGTGTTCTAAATTGTCGTAAAATTGTCCTAACCCTTTCGATTCTCATATCAGAGCCTTCGATAACGACGCCATTTTGGTTCTGGTCAGGGCTGAGTTAAAAAAGTTTTTTAAAAAATCCAAATTTTGAATGTGTCAGGACAATAATTAGGTGACCAGGTGTTAGAGGACAATTCTTAGATGATCAAAGTTTCGGACAGTTTGGCCTAATACCCTTAAAAAGAAGTGTTGTATTCGAATCAACTGATTTGAAGGGGGTTTCACTTCACCTTAAGGTGAGGTGAAACACGTCGAGAAATTTGATCGACGTCGATAAAGAAGATTATTCTAAATGCCTACGTTGCCGCCGTTCGTTTGTATATTGACAGGTATGTCGAATTATATTGGATATTGTACCAAATGACATACTTCATCTGTCGTTTTCGTACAATAATTATAAACAAGTCGAAGTAAAACTCCAGAAATCCTCTGGATTCATGATTTCTGGGGCTCTAATTAACTGTACAGGGACACCCTACGCCATCTGTGATTTCCAGGTCAATTAAATTTTCACTCCGAGACGTCGTATTCCCATCGTTTTGGCATAGAAGCGCATACAACACTTTTTTTGCCTTTATCCCGTTCAAATGCGAGTTTATCGATTACCAGAGTGTTCTAAATTGTCGTAAAATTGTCCTGACCCTTTCGATTCTCATGTCAGAGACTTCGATAATTGTATATTGATCGAAATATGAGAGCTCGACGCCATTTTGGTTCTGGTCTGGGCTAAGTTAAAAAATTGTTTCCAAAAATCCAAATTTTGAATGTGTCAGGACAATTCTTAGATGATCAGGAGTGTTGTGTCAAAGTTTCGGACAGTTTGGTCTAATACCCTTAAAAAAAAGTGTTGTATTCGAATTGACTGATTTGAAGGGAGTTTCACTTCACCTTAACACGATCATATGTTTATTCCTGCATTATCTGACGTGGAAAAACTGGTGATGGTTCCTGACAAGATGTTTACGGCAGCTTGCGCGTTTTCCGGCATCTTTATTTAGTCCCATTAGTAAGAAGGCTATTGTTAAAATTCAGTGACGTATCGCTGGGCCGTCACTCTATGTTTAAACAAATTCCACCTCTACAAGACAAGGTTGATATTCCGAACGGCTCCTTTTAGCAGCTGTTAATGCGATCAATGAAATCGGACGGACGTCGACACGTGCTAAATCCCACCCATCGCGCGTGTCGCTTTACCAACGGACGAAAGAAATACGAATTGCGAAAATTCCACGAGAATCTGGGGCGCGAAAGAGAAAAAAGGAAAATATATGGAAAGATATGAAACACGGAAAGAGAAAAAGTAAACAGCCCCCTCGATATTGCGTCAAGCCGGGCAACTTTCCAAAGATTTACACAGTGCTTGTTATTGGACGGAATCCCAATATCTGATTCCAAAATACCAATAACACTTCCATGTCGAACGGAAAATCGTAAATTCTTGGGAATGTGTCTTTCTGCCAAATCAAATCGCTGGTTATTAATCATTCGTTTATTGTATACCTCCCATTAAGGTGGTTCATCGTCCCGGGAATGATTTTATTACGTGTGAAGAGGAAGACAAAATCAAAATGGTGTAAAGGAGCTTCCCTAGTTGAGGGTCGGCAAAATTTATTCTTTTAGATTAATCGAAAAAAGACTTTGTGGGAATTTTGTGTTTTATACATATTCAGACTGTGTCCGGGGTGAAGATAAATATAAATAAATGTTACCATCGGGTCTTGGGATGGAATTTGACGGTGAAGGGAAACACGTCGAGGAACTTGATCGACATCGGTAAAAATGATTTTTCTAAATACCTACGTTGCCGACGTTCGCATTTATATTACCACCAGTATCGAATTATATTGAGCATTGTAACAAATGACATACTCCACCTGTCGTTTTCGTACAATAATTATAAAGAAATCGAAGTAAAACTCCAGAAATCCCCCGGATTCATGGTTTCTATGGCTCTAACTGACTACAGAGGGACCCCATGCGCCATCTGTGATTTTAGCGTTAACTAAATTTCCTCTCCGAGACCCCGCGTTACCTTCATTTTAGCAGAGAAGCGTTTAAGAAACTTTTTTCAAAATTTATTCTTTTAGGTTAATCGAAAAAAGGCTTTGTGCGAATTTTGTGTTTTGTACATATTTAGACTGTGTCCGGGGTGAAGATAAATATAAATAAATGTTACCATCGGGTCTTGGGATGGAATTTGACGGTGAAGGAAAACACGTCGAAGAACTTAATCGACGTCGATAAAAATGATTTTTGTAAATGCCCACGTTGTCGACGTTCGTTTTTATATTGACAGCTGAGACGAATTATATTGAGTATTGTACTAAATGGCGTACTCCATATGTCCTTTTCGTACAATAATTATAAAGAAATCGACGTAAAACTCCAGAAATCCCCTGGATTCATGGTTTCTATGGCCCTAATTGACTGCAGAGGGACCCCCTGCGCCATCTGTAATTGCCATGTAAACTAAATTTCCTCTCCGAGACCAATAATTATAAAGAAATCGACGTAATACTGCAGAAATCCCCTGGATTCATGGTTTCTATGGCCCTAATTGACTACAGAGGGACCCCCTGCGCCATCTGTGATTTCCATGTCAACTAAATTTCCTCTCTGAAACCTCGTGTTACCTTCGTTTTAGCACAGAAGCGCATAAGACACTTTTTTGCCTTTATCTCGTTCAAATGCGAGTTTCTCGATTACCAGAGTGTTCTAAATTGTTGTACAATTGTCCTGGCCCTTTTGTTTCTCATATTAGCCTTCAATAATTGTATATCGATCGAAATATGAGAGCTCGACGCTATTTTGGTTTAAGTCTGGGCTACGTTAAACAATTGTTTGGAAAAATCCAAATTTTGAATGTGTCAGGACAATTCTTAGATGATCACGAATAATGTGTCAAAGTTTCGGACAGTTTGGTTCAATGCTCTTAACCCCTTGCCTTACGATTTAAATTCCAATAGCGCGTGCCATAAACAACAAAAATGTCGGTCATACATCGGGCCATTTCACGGTTTGGCTGAACGTTCAAAGTTTCGCACTTCTCTCATACGTTTTGTATGCGTTTGGCCCGATTGACATATCGCGTCTCTCACATGTTTTATTCACATTTGGCCCGATTGATTTACCACGTCTCTCACACGATATTGTAAGTTAAGAGGTTAAGAAAAAGTGTTTTATTCGAATCGACTGATTTGAAGGGGGTTTCACTTCATCTTAAAGGAGTTTCCCTGGTGGAGGGTCGTCAAAATGTATTCTTTTAAATTAATCGAAAAAAGGCTCTGTGCGAATTTTGTGTTTTATACATATTTAGACTGTGTCCGGAGTGAAGATAAATATAAATAACTATTACCATCGCTTCTCGGGATGAAGTTTGACGTTGTTAATAACAGGAGGAACAGTGTGTTACCGTTGGTGTGATAAAACAGGGATTGCTCAACCGGGTTAACTTATACGTTGACAGATGGCGCCACTTCCCAAGGGCCATTTTGATTCTAAGTTCAAAGATAAGGCGCAAGATAATTGAGCCTCAATTTTCTCGCGTCTTATTAGGTTATGATAACCTGAAAGTGATTGTCCATTTGCGGTACGGAATTTCACGGTATTTTGTAAATACTACGATTTAATGACACGGTTTAATGCAATTTATTAGATTCTCGGATTTTATTTAACAAGATAAGGAAGTTTTCATGATTTCTGTAATTCACGGAAATGACTGAATTATATAAAGACATTCTAAGGTACGTTTATATAACAGGATGGGTAGATGTTTGCATAACTTTGTACTGTTTAAACTCTTCGTGTTATCGTTGTCTATACGTCTTGCCACTTATGTAGGTAAATGATGTGTATGCGATACTTAAAAGATAATTCTAAGGGATTGGTATAATTTACGTGCGAAATGGTAAACCTACGATAGATTTAGTAACGTGCATTGGATAGTTTGTACTACGACGTTTGTTACAGAATAGAACGAGAATTGTTAGTTAAAAGGGAACTCTGGGTGTTTTGTAATGCCTTTGAAAAAGTTAAAATCACAGATACGAGCTTTCGCTCCCTGGTCTAAGCCTTTCAATTCGTCAATTTCTTCGGGCTTGAGGTCCCAATCGAATAGTTCAATATTTTCTTTAATTCTCTGAGCATTGGTACTTTTCGGGATGGCAGCGATTCCTCTGTTAATCGTGAACTTGAGTAGTATTTGGGCTGGCGTCTTTCCATGTTTTTTAGCTAATTGCAAGACCACAGGATTTACCAGCAAATCGGGAAGTGTGTCCGTTTTTCCTAAGAGTTTCACCAATCCTCTCGAACCCAGAGGCGAATAGGCCGTTACCGTGATTCCTTTACTTTTGCAGAATTCCACCTATAAAGTTAAAAGCGAAATTACATCTCCATGGGATGCTTCTGATGTATAATCTTCAAACTCTGTATTTCAAATATCAGGGTTTTACCAATTCTTTTTGTTGGAAATAAACGTGCAACTCAATCTGCAAGTTAGATATCGGTAACGTGGCTACCGATTGGATCCTGTCGATTTGTTTACTATTGAAGTTGGAGAGGCCTATGGCCTTCGTGCGACCAGCGACAACTTGCTTCTCCATTTCAGCCCACACTTTTAAGTGATCGGTGGAAGGATCTATTCTAATTTCTCCCTTCTCGTTCATTGGATGCAAATCATCGCCAACTTCTTCGAAAGTAAATGGTGTATGTATTAAATACAGATCTAAGTAATCCAACTGTAAGTCCTTCAGAGATTTCTTGATCCATTTTTCTATACCACCAGGACGGTTCCCAGTAGGAGGTACCTGTTCAGAACGTACATGTTTAGTTTGGAAATCTTGAAGAGCAATCGATGGCCTAGAAAGAGAACTTTCCTAACCTTTGTAACGATGAAAAGTTCCTCACGTTTCACCTTGCCAGAGTCTATCCATTTTTTCAGAACCTTGCCAATAATAGGTTCGTTGTGATAGACCGGAGCGGTATCTATGTGTCGATATCCCGCACCCAAGGCATCATCCAATGCTGCTTCTAATTCAGCTTCGGTTGCCTTTAATTTTTATCGTAACAGTGAAAACACAATTACACCGTTCCATCACTTGGAAGGATGTATCATTTAAAAACTCGAATTAAAATTGCAAGATTTAGGGACTTGTTACCAGTATTAATGTAGATCATATTTGTGAATGTTTTAAACATATATGTAAATGGGAATATTGTAATCATACACACCTGCCAAGTTCCAAAACCCAGGATGGGCATTTTTTGCCCGGTAGGTAACGTTATCGTCTTCTGTGTGGCCATTTCGGTACACTCGGCAGCAAGGTCCGGTTGAAACTGATTCAAAGAAAGTCAGAAACTGTATAACAAGCATAATCTTATCGTTACCCCACTTTTCAGTGATCCAGCCGGTAGAGTACTTTCACTCCGAGGCCTTGTGGTGTCCTCGTATTATTGAATCGTATGCTAAGGTGACTTTTTACTGTTTTCCGATATTACCTTCCATTATTCTCGTAGGATTTGACCCTCACTTACATACGGTACACCTAATCAATATTTTCAGGAAGCTAATTCTACGTTAGGCCTTGCTGAGCCTCGTGTACATAGAACTGGCTAGTCATAAATAGTTATGTAATTCGTAATATCGATCAAGAAGCTGATTTCTTAAACAATCCACCTAAGAGAACAATTGTATTATATTTTTAGATACATACCGTAAGTATGTATAATATAATTTGCATTTTTGCATTTTTTCCTGCGAAGCATTACACCGTTGCTTAAATAAATTATATTTTTCAATTAGACGTTAGACAACGCTGTAAATCTTTTTTTAAATCTATACGTTTAAAAACCTAATGTTTATTTATTTTGACGTTTTCAGATAAAATGTACAGTCATTAATCCTAGGTGAGCTCGTTAAAATTCATTATGCAAGAGATTATGCAACCAGGATAATATTTTACCCCGTAATGGCAACACTTCGCTGCAGATAGACCACTCGACACTTCGCTATGTACACTTGCATTAATTGTGGGACCGAGCTGGGAGAACTGTACAGGAGATACAGCCCGAGTGTCTTGAAAGTCTTGAAATGTGTAAGCCGAATTCATGCCCCTTCTCCCCGGTGAAAGATGAACATTAATTTATATACCATTTCAGGAGAAATGCGGAGCTTTGGCGGACAAGTACATAGAGTATGACCCTGCGATAGTGTTGGTTGACCTGGTGCTGTTGGAAAAGCCTGCCTACAGACATCTTTTGTACAACAGTGGCTTCAAATCCTACTGGAAATTACTGATAGCTCTGTTATTAGGGGAATCCTTCAGAATATGGTACACCGTAGACTCTAATGACCCCGAATCCTTCGCAGCTCATTCGATGGGCCATAACGATGGGTTCAAGAGAGAGGAGAACTTTTACGTTCTGCTCGTGCATACCGCACTTTCCCTGGGAGCATTCGTATGCACCGTAATAGGCATGACGGAGGTGCGATGGTTAATTATGGGACGAAAGCCCAGAAAATACAAGGCGACCGATTTGGGACGAGCTCTGATCGTTGGTGGCTTCGCCAAGTTGCTCGGCTTGCTGGGAATCATTTGGAGGCACACCTCGCCGGATCTTCATTACGCCCTTATACACGGATACACCGTCTTGTGTCTCTTAACAGCATACTCGGGTAAATAATAATAACTTCTTCCGCGACCTGCTCGAATAATGGATATATAATTTATATTTTTCAGCCACTGAGTTCATGCGACAGCTCGCTTAAATTACGCGTTACACACCTTACGGCTCTCTAAGTTTATACCGAATATATTACTTGAATTAAAACGTTCTATTGCAGTCGTTTGCGAAAGTGGAAGAGGCGGATCGTTGGTCGGCCTGACCGGCGGGCTCTTAGCCCATACGTACGTCTCTACTAACGCGGTCGGACTATCGCCAGCGATTTTCAACGTTTCATTGACTTGAGAGGTCAGACCACGCCCGTCAGGATACCAATTACTATGCATCTTTCACCGGGAGAATGCTCCAGCCCAACACCAGTCTGTCGAAGCCACAGGAGAACAGGTTGCAAGCTCCACCGTCTTCTGCCCAGGAGACCGAACAGACCATTCTGCTGTGTCCCTGAAATGGACGTCGAGGAGGGACCTCGTTTAAATAAAGATAGAGATCGGTTATGAGAGCGTGACTAGAATTATACGTGGTGGACTTACCTGTCGACTGGTTCTTGGGAGCCTCGCTAATCTCTGTCCGCTGAGGTCGAAGAGACTTATCTGTCTGTTGTCGTGAGGAATGGCTACTACCCCGGAGGCAGACACTGCCAATCTGTTCGCTGCACTGTCGCCCCTTATCGTTGCCAGAGGACTGCGGATGTTTCGAAGCTCCCACACTTTTACGCTTCTGTCGTCCGACCCTGACACTATCTTGTCTTCCCGAGTGAAGACTGCCGATGTCACCGTTCTGTACAATTAATTGCAGAATGAGTCCAAGTGGCATAACTTGGGAAATAAGTAGGAATGATATCGTCTTTAAGAATCGGTCTAGTTTTACGACTTAAAATTATATGAAAAGCGCTAAGAAATTAAATCGATGTTAATAAATTAAAATTCATCTGTACCCTTTTTGCTGGTAACGTCATTTTTAATACTCGAGTAACATAACCTGGCGTATCCCGTTATCGACATTTATATTTATGTTGGTCTTTTACAGTCTACGTTGAGAATTATACGAAATGAAACGTTTTATATGGTATTTTAGTAAAGTAATGACGAAGAGATCGATGTAAAACAATTAATTGCAGAATGAGTCCAAGTGGCATAACTTGGGAAATAAGGAGGAATGATATCGCCTCTAAGAGTCGGTCTAGTTTCACGACTTAAAATGATATGAAAAGCGCTAAGATATTAAATAGATGTTAACAGATTTAAATTCATCTGTACCCTTTTTGTAACATTCCATGTCTATAATATTCTAAATTGTTCGAGCTAAGTCCTGAAACTGTTCATTTTCGATGCTAAGCCTCCGAGAAGCGAAAAACATCGAAAACGTGCACGGACCATGCCATATTCTAGCCCATGATAAATAAATAAAACTTTTATGAAAACTGAAATTTCATGAGTTTCAGGACCTACTTTACGGCCTCTGTATTCACGAAGTAAAACTTGAAACGAATCGGTACATCCAATTCGAAGAATACTTTCATCAACGATTTGACTTTTCAGATATATATAGGCTGACTCTTTCATATCACCTTAAAACCTTAACCTATTTTCTCTCTTTTTTAAAAATTTTGGTCGTAAAGCAGAATAATTACGTAAAATGTCAAAGCAATAATTACTTACTCTGTGTGTCCTTGAAACACGGAGACCGAATGAATGGGTTCTCTGAAGTCCCACAGTCGAAATGTACTGTCTTGACTGGATGTGACGCAGAGTCGTTGAGCATGATGAGTTGACACATGGGTGAGCTCTTGATCATGCCCACACAGCGTATGAATGATCTCCCCTGTTTCTGCGTCGTATAGATTAGCAGTTCGGTCCCATGAGGCTGTTACGATCTGCTCTGCCCCGGGAAGCCAATCGGCAGCCATTAAGACTCCTGTGTGCCCTAATAATTCCCTTACCGGGGTTCTCAATGTGGGCGCTTCCTCCTGTTTCTCAACGTTACCGACCATGTTTAAGAGTGGCCTGTCCATGCCAATCGAAGGCATGTCTTCGGTAGACAACTCCCTATTCGGTGTGTCCCAATTGACGGCTGCTTGCCATACGTGGGCGGTGCAATCTCCGCTAGCACTTAGAGCTAGATCTCGGTTTGGATGAAACCGGACAGAATTGACGGATCCGTTATGACCAATGTAATGTAGCAAGCACCTGGTATTGTCCATGGCCCATACTCGTGCAGTATGATCCGCTGAAGCTGTGGCTATAATAGGTTGTCCCGTTCTTCCAACTGACACCTCCCACACTCCGTCACGATGGCCTGCATATTCCCTCTGCATGGTGCACGTCATCGTTGGGTTTTTAAAGCTCGACACAATCTTACTGGTCTGGGCCTTGAGCTTATGCGAGGTCTTCACTTTCTGTGCAGACATCCCAGTCGATGCTGCAAAGCATAGGTTCAAATTATGTACATTTATAATTTTGAAACAACAAGCCTAACTTACGTTTCTGTTTCGTCGAGGTATTCTTTGCATCCTGATAGTCCGTAATATCACCAGGGGGTAAGCTACGTTCTCCGTAGCATTCTCTCTCGAGTCTTTCCGTCAATGCATCCACTTTGTCTTGCACTGGAATTAAGCCAAAAATTAAGAAAAGGGAAGTTCATGCGATCGTTAAAATTAGCATACAGCTTCTTACATCCAACATTTTCGGTGTAGAGCAATTCGAATTCCTTTTCGATCAGTTGGAACAATTCGTGCAAGCGGGTCCGTAATATCGGTGGTATGCCATTCTCATCCATGTCCGATCGAAAGCTCACGTAATGTAAAGCCGTTGGGTTTAGCGGCGTCGAACCGCTCTGGCTTAACTGCGACTGAAGCTCAGTGTCCGTGCTGCTCTGTACTCGGGGTATGGAAATCCTTTTTACCTTTCCACCGGATTTACTTCCAGCAGTGGTTGAAGGCTCGCTAGGCATGGTACTTGAATCGTAGAATCTTTACTCGAACACCGATGTTCCTATAAACTCAAAGCCATGTATGTACTGTGCAATTACTAATCCCTTTTACATTATTAACAGGCACATCGATCTTTGGACGCGATTCGCGAAGCACTAGGTATATTCAAGGTCGCGTCATTAATTTATCGGCTAAGAAAAAGCACGAGTCGGTAATTTCGTCGCATCGATGACATTTTAGAGTAGGTGGAAGCAGACCTTACGTTTCTCACGTTCAAGGGAATTGCTGGATGATCCCAAATGCACCATTGAACCGTCAAAGATAAATTTCAAGATCAGCTGATGAAGGCGATTTAATTCACAATCGGTCTCGCAGAGGCCGCATCGGGAAGTTTGGCAACGCCAGAAAATCGTTAACGACCACGATGCGTATTATGCATACATAGATTGTAAACCTGTGCTAAATTTTCGAGGTGGGGGATGATTTTTAGCAGAGATGAGCAAGATCCATATACCACTTTTCTTTCCTAAAACTGCCACCGCTCGGCGCTGTGATAGGGTTAAGTATCTCCGAACATAACCTTGAACATCCATCTTCCACAATCGAGTTTACAACTACCAGTTTCCTCTCTATGGTTGTTCCTCGGAGTTGCCATATTCCTAGGTAAGGGCGTTTGTTACGTATTTTTGACGAGCGCGCTCACTTCTCGTACTTCCATCTCACGTGGGTTTATTCGTCGAACTACGTATTCGCTATATGAAAGAACGAGATCACTAGCACTTCCGGTCTAGTAATATTACAGATAAACGTATATACCATGTAAATTGAAAATTGTTGAGAAGTGTGGGTTATAGGCAGGAAAGGCGGGAAGATGGAAATCCGTTAAAAGTAAGGAAGAGGACTCGAGTCTATTCATATTTTTTAAATATGTATTACATTCATATTTACATGTACTATAATTAGAAGTTCAACAATATCATTTTCTTATCATGTCATGTAAGCATGAATTATTTAACAGTTTTCAATCTTTAATAATGTAATATAACCTCGCAATAACAAAGACTAACCTGTACATCCTAGTAAATTTTCTTTCTTCTCACGAAAATGGGTCTGAGGCATCACGTAATTCCCTCCTTCTTCTAATAAGGTTATTATTACATCCCCGAATACGATTGTTGCCAAAAATCAAAACACCCAGGAGGTTTTCCATTTTGAATTTTGGTGTCACAATCCGTGAAAGATGGCGTTCACGGCGCTTATTTTTCTAACTTTTCTTGCATGCTTTACTATTTGGCTTAAAAATTTGTGTCGAGCCAGTTCACATGAATGGTCTCGCATTTTCACCACCGAAAACGTTCCGTAATACCATCAGCTACTCATTTTTCACATTTTCGTTCAATTTGCTTTACGTAATAGACCCCAAGGTCTTTTCTTTTACGTTGACTATGTAGTTTTTGACCCTGCTTTCACTATTTTTAGGGACATTCGTATTTTAAGATTGGCAACATTTATAGATGGCGAGGCTGTGAGAGCGTCAAGCAGAACTATCTTTAAAAAGTGTTTACCACCTGTTTAAGTTTGTACAGCTTTGTGACTTGTGATTATGCTTGCATGCTATCGTGTACGGAACAGCGTGAATACTTTCGTTTGACATGCAATGTGAGGCGTGCACTAAATTTAAAGTTAGGTTAGGGTCGGATGGTAAAGTATTTCTGATTGCCGTTCGTTTCCTTTCGTCGAATGTAAGGGAACGAGGCATTGTGTATTACACGGGGAAATTTAATTACTTGACTTCAAGTATCAGTTGTTCTCCATGCGTCCAAAATTAGGTTAAGATGCGGGCCAGAAAAACATTGGCCATCTTCGGAGCAGGGCTTCTGGTGGCCTGCTGTGTAATGATTTACCTGATGTTAGATTTAACAGTTTTCCCTCAAGGCCAGAACACCAAATTATCAGTTAAAGATGTGAGTACGTCCAGAATATGAAGCATTACTTAATCTCTGATTTCTAATGACTTCGATTCACATTTTTACAGAATCAATGGTTACACTTTGAAAACAGACTGGCGAGATTGGAAAAAGACCTCATTCGTCAGCATTTAGAGATGAGTGCCCTGCGTGAAGTTGCGCAGTCAAAAAATGACTTAATTCCTGTGGCACAGATTGCGAGTCGTCGGAACCTTTCCGTTTATACGACTCCCTCCCAGCAAGGAAAACCCTTGACGTGCAGTTTCAATATGCAAAAGGTGCCAGAAGTCGATGTCCAAATGCTGGAGGTGTATAAACATTTAGAGTTCGATAACGTAGATGGTGGAGTTTGGAAGCAAGGGTGGAGGATTACGTACGATGAGAAACAGTGGCATCCTAATAGGAAACTGAGAGTATTCGTTGTTCCTCATTCACATAACGATCCAGGTTGGCTTAATACCTTTGAGAAGTATTACACATCTTTTACACAAGGAATTTTAAATAACATGATAACAAAATTAAGTGAAAATCGCAATAGAAAGTTCATCTGGGCAGAGATTTCTTTCTTTAAACTGTGGTGGGACGAACAGCCAAAGTCAAAGCATGAGTTGGTGAAACGATTAGTCCATGATGGACAGCTGGAAATCGTAGCTGGTGGATGGGTAATGCCAGACGAGTCGGTTTCACATTGGATGGCACAACTGGCACAGCTGACCGAAGGTCACCAATGGCTGAAAGATAATTTAAATTATATACCGACTTCTGGATGGGCTATCGATCCTTTTGGACTATCACCGACGATGCCTTATCTCTTGAAAAGTGCTGGACTGGAAAATGTTCTGGTACAAAGAGTACACTATTCCGTCAAGAAGCGTCTCGCTAAGGACAAAAGCTTAGAATTTAGGTGGCGACAGCTGTGGGACAACGATGGATCAACGGAAATGTTCACTCACGTGATGCCATTTTACAGTTATGACATACCTCATACCTGTGGGCCAGACCCTAAAATATGCTGTCAATTTGATTTTTATCGTCTCCCAAATTTTGGACTTAGTTGTCCATGGAAAGTTGCACCACGAAGCATAACAAAGGCAAATGTGGCTGAACGCGCTGCACTCTTACTCGATCAGTATCGTAAAAAGGCTCAGCTTTTTAAAACAGATGTTGTACTGGCGCCGTTAGGTGACGACTTCCGGTACTCCCAATTCACCGAGTGGGACGCTCAGTTTGACAATTATCAAAAGCTGTTTGACTACATGAATGGGCATAAACAGCTGAATGTGCAGATTCAGTTCGGTACCCTAACCGATTATTTTGATGCTATCAGAGAAAAGCATAATTTGAACGAGTTTCCTACTTTATCCGGTGATTTCTTTACATATGCAGACAGAGACGATCACTACTGGAGTGGATATTATACATCGAGGTAACGTGTCGCTGTTAAATGTACTCAAGGAAATAATTACTGGCATCGTCAAGAAATTAGCAATAAGGAAAGCAATTATTTCTAGGCCTTTCCATAAGAGATTGGATCGCGTCTTATTAGGAACTTTACGAGGCTCGGAGATTCTTGCCACTATAGCTTGGGTCAAAGGCTACGATCAACTAGCAGAAGGAAACATGGCTGCTAAACTGAGCGAAGCAAGAAAGTGGCACTCCTTATTTCAGCATCATGATGGAGTAACTGGAACGGCTAAAGACCACGTCGTCGTAGATTATGCTAAAAAGATGATAGTTGCCTTAAACAATTCCGCTCACGTGCTTCAGCAGTCCGTGGCACATTTGCTGAAGAGTCCGCAGACTTCGATCGCCAATACAGAGGCAATCTATTTTTCACTGGATGAAATCAGGTTCGAAAGCCATTACTTCTCCATTGTCATCATAGGCCATAATGTTAAACCTTACATTTAATATTAGTTAACGTCTAACACCGATTACAGACATTCTTGCTTAGTTATTCATCTAATTAATTGATAAAAAATTGCCTTAAAGGTCTCACCACACGAGTATAGGAGACAAGTACATCATCAATCTTGGAGAAGGTAGTCCTCCGAGGAAAATCATATTATATAATCCCCTTCCAAGGCAACGAATAAAGGTTCAAACTGTCACCGTATCGACTCCATACGTACGAGTCACCGATCGAATGGGAAGAGCGGTGCAATGTCAAGTGTCACCAGTTTGGGTCGGACCTGCAGCTTTGTCATCTGCAAAATACGAGCTCTCCTTTCTAGTCACCGTACCTGCTTTTGGAATTATAACGTACTTAGTCCATGCCTTGCACGAGTCATCGATACCACGGTAAATATTTTTTAATACCGTTTGCATTGTTAAATATACAGAGTTATCTATCAGATAATTATTATTTCAGCGATGTTCACGTAGCAAACGTCACCATTTTTAATGTTGCGATACCACCTCCTTCGGTGACAGGCTTTGCTCACATCCAAGTGTTACCTTCTACGCAGGAGTTTTCCATTACGCAGAGACCAGAACTAACTGCGACATTTGGAAAGTCTGGACTCTTGAAGGCTCTCAGAGTTAGCAATATAACATTCCCGGTCCACTTGGAATTTGTGAAGTATGGCACCAGAGGATTAGGTCAAGATAAGAGCGGAGCGTACTTATTTTTGCCAGACAAACCGGAGCCTGATCTCATACCTGTGAATAACGATAAAATCGTTCACCTGGTTACTGGTCCTATTTTGTCAAGAGTATTCATAGAAATGCCACACGTACGTCATACATGCAGTTTATTCAACTCACCTGGGAGCGATGGCTTAGGTTTGCATATCTTGAACGAGGTTGACATTACGGAAACTCGGAACTTCGAACTAGCCATGAGAATTAACACTGACATAACGTCTGGCGATCAACTGTTCACCGATTTAAATGGATTAAATGTAAATGATTGCAATTATCACTTGTGATTATTTCAATTCTCATTATCAAGAGCTCGTGACTAAGGTACCGGGACATCTTTGCAGATGATCAGACGCCAAAGATTCCCAAAATTGCCCACGCAAGGGAACTACTATCCACTAGCCGCAGCTGCTTACATCGAAGACAAAAGAGTGAGGTTAAGTGTGGCAACTGCACAGCCATTGGGAGTCGCTTCGATGGCTGTAGGGCAAATCGAAGTAAGGCAGAAAATCTGATACATTTATTCCTACAGTTCTCTGGAAGCTGTATTCATTTAATTTGTACTTCTCAGCTAACAATTGACATTCTCGTAGATCATGCAAGACCGGAAGCTGCTCCAAGACGATAATAGAGGGTTGGGTCAAGGCGTAACGGATAATTTATTAACTAACCATTTATTTACGCTAGTGTTAGAGAAAAAGAGAACGTCTTGCTCGAACCCGGTACCTGCATCGGATCATCCTGCCGGGATGTTATCCCTGGGAGGACATTTAGCTTCCGAGGAGCTCTTGCATCCTGTGATGGCGTTGCATGCTCTTCCTTCGATACCATTCGACTTGAATGGTGTTTTCTCACCTCTTCGAGTGGATCTTCCAGTGGATGTGAATGTGGTCAGTTTGAGAGTGTTTCCAGTGCCCGAGGGTGCAGGGAAAGGTGTCGGCATGGTTCTGCACCGTCAAGCCATCGACTTCTGTTGGGGTGATGCGTCGAGATTGGAACGATTCAAAGTCTCAGAAAATGGGGAAATCGACCTGACGAAGTTCCTCGATTACATGAAAGACTGGACTATCAGTGAAGCACCGTTGACGTTTCACAATGTGGGGTCGTCAATTAAATCGCCGGTTATCAATGTGTGTCCACATCAAATTCTAGCAATCTTGTTCCATAAAACTCAGTCTTAATGGGATGATGCAAAGACTATCGGTGGCAGGTGGTGTCACCGTTCACTCAGGATTACATATTTTTCAACGAGGCAACAGCTGACCGGCTGTACTTTTTATCAACACGTTCCAATCGTTGGACTGTAATTCTCGTGTCTCCTCTGATTTCTGCAAGTTTTGTTGAAAGTGTTACACTGATTATGCTTGTTAAGTGCTAATCCTTAAGAGTCACGCGCACACATACAGGATGTGAAGATGGTATATAGAAATCGTAATTGAAATTGTGATGCTAGTGTTGTACCTCTAGGTTGTGATTGTTGCTGTATAATTTTCAAACAATAGTATTTATGCAATTCGATTTTTCTAATGGCTGCATAGGGAATATTACTATAATTGTGAAAAGTATAGCAGTGCGAGCTGATTCAATAGTTCCATAGGTACGGAAAAGGTATTTGACAATTTAGCCGAATTTTTATACTTTCACGGTTTCTTTTAAAGATTTAGAAACTCAAACTAACCTTTCAATACCGATTATATACAAGCTTCAATTTTCAAGGAAATTATGAAAAGATGATGAGCATCGTAGGCTTTCCAAATTCAATTTAGCAAATCATTAACATAATGATTTAGAGTTACTAACAGTGTCTGTTCGAGAGCTTTAATAAAGCTATCTGTAAATAGTGCTTGTGAGGTTTAATGAATAATTGCACTAATTAATTGGAAACGTGTCGTAAACAAATAAGGAATTTCAAAGTGACCAATTCAACCGTAAAAGAAGCACAATTATAAACAGCATGGACCGAGTATTCCAATATTCAGGCCACAGTTTAAGTAATTAATAGAATGTTGTTCCTAATTTACATAGGCAAGAAACTATTTTATAAACCCTTCATTATTTCTGATTATAATTAGTTGAGTTATAATAGCGCATTGAAGATACATAATATTATTGTTTTGTAGTCGTAACTCAAGTGGCCTATTCACATGCAGTGATTACGTTAAAATAACTCAATCTTACTATTCAATTCATTTTAAAGGTAATAAAAATGTGCATTAAGGCTGAATTTTAAGAAAATTAAATGTACATTTATCCTCGTCCGAAATGATTTGTGAGGTTGTAAATCTTTGATGGATTTTCTAAGAAATTCTAGGAAAACTATCGCTTTCGATGTATTATTATTTTCTGTAGATGTTAGAATTACGGAAGATTGATTGACATACTGATCGACTGGAAGAATTTGACTGTCCGTTCTTGATGACAGTTTTTTACAGACTAAATGCCATCAATTAAAAGACTATAATGAAGGCTGCTTTAATTTATGTGGAAGCCATTTAATTTAGGTTTCTATTTTGTGATCCCTGTCCTAAAACGCTGAGCACCTTACATACGTAAATACCTAAGGAACCGGGCTAAATAATTTTAGTTTGTTACATATGCCTCAATAAAGGTTAATTACCTTCACATATAGCAGTGTCTCGTATGTGTCTCCATTATTCGTCCATTAATGCATTCCCTCGTGTACTGATTTTTAAATTCGATGCGGCAGAGGAAAAAGTTAAGATCATTCCACAAACAGGAAAAAGCTAAACATTGAACATTTGCAGAAACTCGAGAAAAGGCGAGAATCAATGCTCGAATTTTTAGAACACGTTTGTTAAAAAGTACAAAAGGGTCAGACGTACCTTTCTGCAAAATATGTATTATTCCGTCACAATGACTGCAATTTATTTCACACATATTTACTCAGGATGGCATAGTCCACTTTCTCAGAGGCAGGTGGGCTCGTGTTGTCCAGTTTGTAGCTGTAACAATATTACCTAAATGTGTCGGTTGATTTATACATTTAACAGATTGTTAATAAATTTTTCATACAAGACAAATTATATTTAAGACTTAGGTGGTACTGTTGACAATGAATGTGGGTAATGGTTAATAAAAATAATAGTAGTACATACCCTAGTGTGTGAAAAAAAGGAATAGCTGTAACGTTGTGTTTAAGCACAGTTAGTACAACTTTTTGCATTTGACTGTGGCATGCCATTGATTCTAAGGTTTGCATTAAAAACTGGCCAAGTCCTTTACGCCTTGCTATGGGTTCCAATTGCAATTCATAGCTGAAAGCACGTTAAACGTATGAAGCACACAGTATTCTTCCCTTCTCATTTTAATTAAAAAGATTTAATCGTATTTCCTACCAATACAACACCTCCACTCCGTGATCGATATCGAATCGAAAATGAGAAAATCCTAAAAGTTCATCTTTAGAAGAAGCAACCAAATACCAAGCTGCTGGTTCAGTTAATTCCTGCTTTTTTGAAACCAGATCCCAACCCCAACTCGACTGTTCATACATTTCTTTCATGTTACGTTCCATTAAATTAAATATCCAAGTAAGAGTTTCTTCGGGTAAATCGGCTACCCGGCTACATATAACGTCCATTACAGATTCGTCCTTAGCTGTAAAAGTATGAAAAGTAAGTGCTGCCAGGGGATTTATCTGTGCATTTGCATCGTCTACTAGCCGTTTAGCGGCTGCTGCTTCCTGTGCTCTAAGCTGCCGTCTTGTTTTGTGTCCTTTTTTCTAGATAAATTAAAACAGATAAATTATGTCTCTTCACTAAACGAGTGTTATCAAGCACTTACGAAATATATTTTGAAGATGAAATTGAAAATTCTTAGACTAACGTAAAGTACATTACGTGCACATAATAAAATACGATTTATCAAACATTTATGGATAGATGATAGATTATTGAAAATTACATTTTGTGCATGCTTAGAATGTTTCAACGACTTCATGGTGGTTTAAAAGGTGGAATTCGATGTTTTCATTTACAGAATTTTTAAACTTCACGAATGGTTTCAAACCACCTTGGACATTTGTTTACGTTTCGATCAAAGACGCGGGAAAACAAGGATGGAGACAAAAGTCAGAAGTTAGCGAGAGGAAATCTGTCGAGCGGGAGGGGAGAGGTTAGGGCGGCCATTTTAGATCGGAGTCCCACTTAGCGCGTCCAACGTCAGACGCATATCACAGAGCGCGGCGCGTCAACGCGTCGTAGGTGAACAACCAATCGGAATTGCGCTTAATTTTAGCGTCATTTTTTCCGCAATTCTGATTGGTTGATCATGCACGACGCGTTGACGCGCCGCGCTCAGTGAGACTAAATATGACTCCAGCCTCATTTGTGAGAAATCACTATGCTGGCTCCGTATTTCTCCGGGAAGGAATGTCATCTCACTGACAATTACTGATTCAAAACAGTTGTGGGTTGCGAAAGAGAAAGTTCGATTGGATTGTTAAGTATCGTGAATATTTTATAATTAACAAGTAATTAACGTTCGGGTTGCGGCAGCTTACTGTACACAGTTCTGGGATTAATCTGTTGCATTTGAGGTTATTTAGGCAGCTTGTGTAACGGTATCGCGGATTAATTTTTGCGCTGCTGAGGTGTTTCGCAAAAGAGATAAAAATTTACAAATCGTTTCGCTTGAAAAGGAAGAAATCTTTTAACGAAAGGAAAATGCCAGCGGTTGTCATTGGCCCACCCCAACGAAGCGAACAAATGTGGCAAGCCCTTAAGGTGCACATTACCAGGGAAAGGCAACGGAAGAAACAAGGTAATCTAACCTAATTCAACATATTGAAGGATGACCTGATATGTTAACTTACTCCGTTATTTATAATCACTAGAATTTATGAATTTTGCGTACATTTTTGTCGAATCGAATACTTTCATCTATAACTGCATGTACTATTGTAGAGCAGGAAGCGGATGCAGAGGAAGAACGGCAAAGAAAAGAAAGAGAACGTCAGCAGAAGCAGGATGTCATGACGTTAGGGGAGACCCGTGAACAAATATCCAATTTAGAAAATGAATTGTCACAGCTGAAGGATGAGAAACATCAGTTGTTTTTACAACTAAAGAAAGTCTTAAACGAAGATGACAACCGAAGGCGGCTCATCAAAGAAACAAGGTCAGTATTGTGCTGGCAGAAATCAGTCTTACCTTGTAAGTTAATATCATTTTTTGCAACCATAGCGTCTGCTCTGAAGTTTTGACGACCGTGGGTGGATATCCTGGAACTGGTACCAGCGTGGTACATCCCCAATTGTTCCTACCTTTGCCAACGCGTAGTCCTTTATATAAAGTAACTGCTGCTACTCCGACACATACTCTTCTGCCAAGTGTAATTAAGATTTGTCCATAAAATATTGATACGTGTCATGGGCATTAAGTTATATGAATTCTTTGGTGCACAGGGGCCTTTAAAGAGAGCACACACTCCATCGCCACCACCGACGGCATCACCTTATCATGCCGGTTATGGTTACAAACCTCCTCCGAATATGCCCAGCTACAATCCACCCCCTGCAAGTGAGTTAATCGCTGTATGATGATAATATGTTGTAGAATGGGAAACGTGATACTTTATGTAACGTATCGCATGCTTTAAGAATGCAAGCTGTACGATCTTAATCTTTATTTCATGCCCAGTTATGAATTAACTCAGAGGAACTTGCAATGATTTTTGGTGGATGAATATTAAGAAGCTACCGAGTGGTGTTTGATCTCTGGATAAATTTTATTTTGGAATAGGGGAACTGAGAGTAGATGATTGTATTTTTACAGAATCCGAGGAGGCTGCCAGGAGATCTGGCGATTCCCGAGCCGTCCTCTGGAATAGTGAGTGGACCATCGTTCTTATGATCCGTTTGCACATCATGAAATTCCAATCGAGTTCAATGTAATAGGCGACCAACCCTTGCACTTACTCAATTTTTCTTTATTAATTTCTTTCCGTGCTTTTAAGATGAAGATTCACCCGAATCCACCAAGATTGACCACTTGACAGTTTCAATGAAAAGCTTTCAATGTGTTAAACACCATTTATCGGTTTTACAAGTACGGGATAAATTAAAAATCAAGAAGTTGAATGTTTCACGCAGTGACGTATGGCTGACAGTCTTTCGATATATTTAATAGATCTAAAAGAACGATACCTTCGAGCTTGCAGCAGTGTGTGCATGAATGTTTACATAAATGTAAAACTTAGTCCTCGTTGAAACATCTTACTATATCTCATCACTCTTCAAATTTCAAAGCCACGTCTAGAAACACGTATTTTTTTTTTATTTTAGAGAACAATCAGTACCCCACATCGAGCTTCTATTCAACACCTACTGGCCAAAGTGTTTATAGTTACACAACTCCGTCCACTCAACAAACCAGAGAGCCAGAACCAACTAAATTGACGTATCTGTCAGTGAGTCGAGATTCACTGACTGCCCGAGAGCCAGAACCAGCTAAGCCTACTTACTTATCGGTCAACAGAGCTACATTGTCTACGCATCAAGGAGGTAACTCTTCGACATTTTTAATATTTTCTATATTTTATACGTAGTTCATCGACTCAACGGTGTGGAAGAGAAAGTGATTAATAAGACATTAATATTTCAGCATATGTTACCAGCTTGCATTCACTGGATCATAAGGGTGCTTATTCAGAAGATAAATTCTACCTTCGTCCCAGCAGTCACGTTACAGTCCATGGAGGTGCAATACCAATCCAGCAGCCGCCACAGGTGTCACAATTTTTTTGAAGCTAGCATTATGTTGCACATCAAGATTTAGACAGGCATTACTTATTTTTTATCCATTGATAGGGCGCTAAAACTGGAGGAATCACTTCGGGGTATCCAATTAGGGCATCTCAACCACCGCCTGGTCCATACCCACCGCCTCCGACAGGAACATATGTCAGTGCTTCTGCTGCAAATGTTCCGGGTAGGTTATTGTATACTCAACCAAGAGCACGTTATCTTCAACGCGAGGTGTAAATATTTAGAACTTGTGGAACTGTATTATTTTCTACGGATATTGCGTATAATTAAATTGTATATTGGAACTGCATCAGCTAGGCTGAGTAACCGGTGAATAATGTAGGACTATTTACATAACTATTGGAAAATGTAATTGTATCGTAATGGACCTTTAATGCCTAGTCGTAATTGTTTTATTTAATTGCACTGACATTGACTTGACGTGAAGTACTTTAAAGCACTTTATACTACTTTGAGGTCAGAGGGTTTTAAGGTGAAGTGAATCCCCCTTCAAATCAGTCTACTCGAATAAGACACTTTTTTTTAAGAATATCGGATAGAATTGCCTGAAACTTTGAAACATGACTCGTGAGCATCTAGGAATTATCCTGACACTTACAAAATATGGATTTCTGAAATTTCCAAATTTTTTAACTTAGCCAAAATCAGGACCAAAATGGCGTCGAGCTCTCATATTTCGATCGATATCAAATTATTGAAGGCTCTAATATGAGAAACGAAAGGGTCAGGACAATTGTACGACCATTTAGAACACTCTGGTAATCGAGAAACTCGCATTTGAATGGGAGAAAGGCAAAAAAAGTGTCTTATGCGCTTCTATGCTAAAATGATGGGAATATGAGGTCTCGGAGTGAAAATTTACTTGACACGGAAATCACAGATGGCGCATTGGTCCCTCTACAGTCAAATAGGGCCTCAAAAACCCTAAATTCGGACGATTTCTGGAGTTTTACTTTGATTGGTTTATACTTATTGTACGAAAACGACACGTGGAGTCATTATGTCATGCCATTTAGTACAATACCCAATATAGTTCGACACGGCTGTCAATATAAAAACGAACGTTGGCAATGTAGGTATTTAGAAAAACCTTTTTTACCGACGTCGATCAAGTTCCTCGACGTGTTTCACATCACCTTAGTACTCATAAAATGGTCATTTTGTACGTAATTTTTCATGTTGTATATATAATTGTGCTCGTGGAAAAAAAACCATCTCGTTGCAAATTTATTCCTGTAACATCAGACTGAACAGACACGAACGGGGTTTAAACATTTAATTTTTTATACATTTCGTCGTACGATTTTATTACCAAAATAATACGTATCTAAGTGAACGATGATCTATGATATATAAAAAAAGAAAATGGGTAACTGAGTGTCTTCGATAATTTACACCCATTGGTGTACAATGCTTCGCAACACATTTGTCGGAGTAGACTGTCTAACGTAATGCTATTGTATCGGTCTAAAGTTGTACTTGTTTTCTCGCGTAATAATAGTAAATTTGAATACCCCCTGTATTTTTATAGATATCGAATAGCTTCGATAGTCGATCATATTACGTTTCACGGCTCGTCTTACTTAATGAAACTTAATAAGTATTGTATTCATACGAACTAAACTCACTAATAGTGGTCAGGAAGTAATTGAAAAGGCTAACAATGAACAACAGCTCATCAGGGTTCAATGCTAAAATACATCAATACTTTCAACGTTGAGAGATAAAATCGATAACAAACGAAACAATGATCTTTTGATGAAATAATGTGTCGATGACTCAAGAGTCGATTCGTTCCTATTCCCAGTGAACGAATCAACTCTCGAGTTGAAATGAAATTAATGTCTCGAGCTTAATATGATTACGATAACTGTGACTATTAACACGGTTAATCTTTCCTTCGTGGGTGAATCGGAATGCCTGATTCACAAATACTGTTTAACAACAGTACGTACGGATTGAACAGCTTGTCACTCCTCTTCCAGATGAATATTTAGTATCTTTTCCCTCTCTCTGTGTTCCTTCGAATACAAATGAGACAAAAGTTTCAACACACCGAATATACTTTGGTTGCACATCTTGCAGTGCACTTCGGTTGCTGGCGTGCCGCGTATGCTCCTAAAAATATAATTACATGGAGAGTGTAAGATATGAGCAAATGTTAAATGTTAAAAGAAAACCTGCTTAGCCTTAAGGTGAAGTGAAACCTTCTTCAAATCAGTCGATTTGAATACAACACATTTTTTTAAGGGTATTAGACCAAACCGTCCGAAACTTTGACACGTCACTCCTGAGCATCTAAGAATTGTCCTGACGCATTGAAAATTTGGATTTTTCAAAAAAATTTTTTAACTCAACCTAGACCAGAACCAAAATGGCGTCGAGCTTTCATATTTTGATCGATATCAAATTATTGAAAACTCTAATATGAGAAACAAAAGGGTCAGGACAATTGTACGACAATTTAGAACACTCTGGTAATCGAGAAACTCGCATTTGAATGGGATAAAGGCAAAAAAGTGTTTTCTGCGCTTCTATGCTAAAACGATGGTAATACGAGGTCTCGGAGTGAAAATTTAATTGATCTGGAAATCACAGATGGCGCAGGGGGTCCCTCTGCAGTCAATTAGGGCTCCAGAAAGCATGAATCCAGAGGATTTCTGGAGTTTTACTTCGATTTCTTTATAATTATTGTACGGTAACGACATATGGTGTACGCCATTTGGTACAATATCCAATATAATTCGACCTAGCTGTCAATATAAAATCGAATGTCGGTAACGTAGATATTTAGAAAAATCTTTCCTACCGACGTCGATCAAGTTCCTCGACTTGTTTCACTTCACCTTAAGAATTATTTGTTACTTACTGAGAAGCTAGGACTCGCAGCTCTCTGGCGTGTTCCGTCATTGCCTCGAGTTCTGGATTCGCTTCCTCCAGTTCCAGAGCATAGTGCAACTTGAAAATGGCACTGCTGGAGGCGTCAATTCTGCCAGGAGGAAGGAACAGAGACTCGTCGTATCGATTCCATCTGTCGAAGTTCGGGCCCAGATCATATTTCCGGGATTCTCTTCTTCTCTCGAGTAATCTTAATAGCACACCCTTAATTTTATTCTGGCATATGGCGATTTCCTCGAGATCCTCGCATTTGTTCTCGATGTCGGAATTCGTGTGGATCCCCATGTTCATCCAATGACGCAGTCTGTTAATCTACGGTCAATGTGATATTCTAAAGTATACGTTAAAATTTAACAAATGGCGAGGAATATTAAATGGAAGGTATCATAAATTGTGTTTTTGAGATGATATGAAAGAGTCAGCCTGTACATATCTGAGAAGTCAAATCGTTGATGAAAGTATTCTCCGAATTGGATGTACCGATTCGTTTCAAGTTTTACCTCGTGAATACAGAGGACCCAACGTAGGTCCTAAAACTCACGAAACTTTATTTTTCATACAAAATTTATTTATTTATCACGGACTGGAACCAACATGGCGTGGTTCGGGGCACGTCTTCGATGTTTTACGCTTCTTGGAGGCTTAGAATAAAAAATGATGAGTTTCAGGACCTAGCTCGAACAATTTAGAATGCCGCAGAAATGGAATATTACAGAGTCAGATTGGAAAATATGGAAAATACTTTCATTAAGGTGAAATGAAACCCCCTTCAAATCAGTCGATTCGAAACAACACTTCTTTTTAAGGGTATTAGACCAAACTGTCCGAAACTTTGACACATCACACCTGATCTAAGAATTGTCCTGACACATTGAAAATTTGGATTTTTCAAAAAAATGTTTCAACTCAGCCCAGACCAAAACCAAAATGGCGTCGAGCTCTCGTATTTCGATCAGTATACAATTATCGAAGGCTCTGATATGAGAATCGAAAGGGTTAGGACAATTTTACGACAATTTTGAACACTCTGGTAATCGATAAACTCGCACTTGAACGGGATAAAGGCAAAAAAAAGTGTTGCATGCGTTTCTATGCCAAAACGATGGTAATACGACGTCTCGGAGTGAAAATTTAATTGACCTGGAAATCACAGATGGCGCAGGGGGTCCCTCTGCAGTCAATTAGGGTCCCAGAAAACACGAATCCAGAGAATTTCTGGAGTTTTACTTCGATTTCTTTATAATTACTGTACAAAAACGAGACTTCATATTACCATCGTTTTAGCATAGCAGCGCATAAGACACTTTTTTGGCCTTATCGCGCTCAAATGCGAGTTTCACGATTACCAGAGTGTTTCAAATTACCGTACAATTGTCCTGACCCTTTCGATTCTCATATTAGAGCCTTCGGTAATTGGATATCTATCGAAATATGAGAGCTCGACGCCATTTTGCTTCTGATTTTGGCTAAGTTAAAAAATTTGGAAATTTCGGAAATCCAAATTTTGTAAGTGTCAGGATAATTCCTAGATGCTCACGAGTCATGTTTCGAAGTTTCAGACGGTTCGATCCAATACCCTTTAAAAAAAGTGTCTTACGTGAATCGACTGATTTGAGGGGGGTTTCACTTTATCTTAAAGTGAAGTGAAACGCCCTTCAAATCAGTCGATTGGAATACAACACTTTTTTTTATGGGTATTGGACCAAACCCGCCGTAACTTTGACACATGACTCGTGATCATCTAGGAATTGTCTTGACACATTCAAAACATGGATTTTTGGAAAAAGTGTTTTAACTCAGCCCAGATCAGAACCAAATTGGCGCCGAGCTCTCGTATTTCGATCAATATCCAATTATTGAAGGCTCTGATATGAGAAACGAAAGGGTCAGAACAATTTTACGACAATTTAGAACACTCAGAACGATGGGAATACGAGGTCTCGGAGTGAAAATTTAATTGACCTGGAAATCACAGATGGCGCAGGGGGTCCCTGCAGTCAATATGGGTCCCAGAAAGCACGAATCCATAGGATTTCTGGAGTTTTACTTCGATTTCTTGATAATTATTGTACGAAAACGACAGGTGGAGTATGCCATTTAGTACAATACCCAATATTATTCGACCCAACTGTCAATATAAAAGGGAACGTCGGCAACGTAGGCATTTAGAAAAATCTTCTTTATCGACGTCGATCAACTTCCTCGACGTGTTTCACTTCACCTTAAGGGTCTCCATATTCACGTAGTAAAATTAAAAATGAATCTGGACACCCAATTCGGAGAATACTTTCACCAACAATTTGACTTCTCATATATATGCTGACTCTTTCATATCACTTTAAAAATAATGAAGTACGGCCGATAAGGACTCACGTCTTGGAGGTCGTCGATAGTAATCTCAACGTCGAAGGCGACGGTCATATCGTGTTCAGGAAAAATACTGGTCTTTGTAACTGGATGGCTACCCAGGCCACACAGAGCTCCGACGTAATCGGTCCCCATAGAGTTTCGACGGAGTTCGATTTTCGGGGCGAACACCAAAGAAATGATGGCGGTCAGACCGGGAACGTTCGGCATCAGAGTGGTATTTCTTAGCATTAAATTGGTACCGTTACTACTTTGACCAACGCTCCCAGCTACCAGGAGTTGTTCGTGGGAGTCCTCCGGGTTGTTATCGAGGAGTATCGAGTTGACCGAATTCCACTCGATGTTGATCCTCTTGGTCCTGCCAGCCGATGTAAGGTGGAGGAGTCGGATCTCGAGAGGAGAGTACGGACCCTTCAGGGTCACCTCGCTCCTGCAGCTCTCTCGCTCCGGAGGGTCTGCATACTTATCCGATATGCAAGTCTGATCGTACTGTAACTCCTCGTACTTCCTTCTCTGTTCTTGCGTCATATCTGCCTGCTGTTCCCTCAACTCGTGGTTTTGTCGCGACATGAAGTCCTCTTCCTTACGCTCGGCGTGTCCTTTCTCTATCAGCAGTTCGTTAAGATTTTTCTTCTCGCCCTCTGGGTAAAGGCTGTATAAGGTGACAGCTATCACTCCGTTGACAACCGAGTAAACTTCTCCGAACAAAGACACCCGATGACCAGCGATAGCGTGTTGCAAGGTGTTCCACGCGGCAACTGACCATTGGTCCGACAAATTTCGAGAGATGGAAGGCCGGATTCCTGCCAGGACACATTCTAGGGCTTGTGCCGGAATCTTTGCGATTTCTCGTTGAGTCAGGAGGTGCCGGAGGTTGAAAGTGCTCACGTTTTCGGTGTAACCATAATCTATGAAGAACACTTGAGCCAATCTATTTTGTGGGCCTTGCATTATGTAGTTCTGAACGATTCCTCGGCTAAACAAGGGTTTGTCGGTGGTGTGTTTCCGTCGAGGTGCGATTACGAAGGACCCAATCTCCGGGGGATAATCGAATTCTGCCAAGCAGTCTATTTCGTTGAGGGCGCGATCCATATTCGTCAGGGTGACGATGGTGTCGTCTTTTATATGCGCCCAAAAATGGGAAACGCTTTCGAACTGAAACGAAAGAAATGGTATTGCAATGATTAAGATGGCTCCGTTGAAAGGGTGTAAACAGAAATTTTAATAATGCCTGCGATACCGTGACGTGCTCTCGTCTAGTCTGACCTAGAGTTCGAAAATTCTCGGTAACATTAAATTGGAGAAGGTAACTGTGAAACATACCGTAAGTTACCGGGAACATTGAGAATTTAAGAGAACGTTAATTTTGTTATTTATACTTTAGGTTTCTTCGTTTAAATAACTTTTTTTCTTCCAATCAACTTCAAAGTTCAAGCTAAAGAGTAATAATTATTATTAGAAAATATTGATTATAGGGTCGTATTTAACTCCAGCTAAAAATATTCACGTATGTACAACTTCACGGAATATTCCATGCGATTTGTTTCAAACGAACTGATATTTCATTCTGCGACGAAGCGAATGGGAGGTTTTGATTGGCTACGGAGAACGTACAACGGAAATTCCCCTCTACGATGTTTCTCTATAGCTAATCGAAACCTCTCGTTCGCTCTGTTGAAAAATTCAAATTCTCATAATTTCTCGATAAAAAAGGCTTTGGAGAAATTACCGATAAATTACCGGGAATTTCTCTTCGTTTCTGACGTAACTTACTGGATTTAGAACTCTAGTCTGACCATTGACTTGAAAATATTCCGTTTACACGTTGAAAAGCATCTCATGCTTTGTTTTGTAGAGAACTTACGTCTACTATAACCAAGGGAATGCACGATACGTCAAGAGTAGGCAAAACTGGCCTCAAGACTCTTTCGGCAGGTGCATCGTCCTCGAAGCCATTCTGCACGAAGAAGTAGTTATTCGCGTAAGGTTTCAGCTTAAGCTGCGTCATTCTGTCCTGTGCTTCCTTATCTCCCATGATGGGGACGGTCAACGGCATGTTGGATTGCCTCAGCTTGAGAGCCTTGTAAACCTCCAGAGAGACCTTTCCTGGGATTTCCCCGGATTGGCCGGTCTTTACCCGCGAGGAACTTTCCCCCTTCTTGAACTGGACGTAGACCCGAGACGAGCCGTCGAAAGAAACGGAGATTTTCCCCATGGGCGAAGTCAAGCAGTCTTTGAAGTAGTCCTGGATGCGTTTGGCGTAGACCACTCCTGGGTGATTCAATGGCCACCCCGTCATGTAAACCGTTTTGGCAGGATCCAGTCCACCCAGTAACTTCAGCCCGGACTGCTCGTCCAGTTGACCACCCTGCGTACTTCTGACAAAGTAATGGGGATAAAATGCCCCTGCGATCACTATTTTCAAGACGAAGGGCTTTTGCACTTCGTCCCATACGACCTTGTTCACTCCAACGGTTTCACAGATCCCGAGGGACTTTAGTCTGGATGTTATTTCCTGGACAAGGGCGTTTACTTCTCGCAGGACCTTTACTTGAATGAAGTGCCTGCTTGCCCAACTTTTTTCGAGGGCGTTTGTGTGCAGCCGACCTCGGGCCTTCTCGTGGGCCCAGACGGTAAATGCATTCATGAAAGCTATGCAATCGCTGCAAGATCTGTCGGCCCATACAAGTTTTGCATTGTATGCTTGAAGTTTGTTTTGGAAGGGCGTGCTGAACATACTCTTTACCGACATGCTGGCGCCTATTATGATCGTGTCTCTGAGGACGCTGAACACATGCCCCAGAATTATCAGCTTCGATACGTGAATGTCTAACGGGAGGTGGGCCATCACTTTCCCAAGATCGGTCAGTTGTCCGTCCAATTCCTTGAATTCGCCAGGTTTCTCTGTGAGAGCTCCCGCCTCTTTTAATGATAAAATGGTCCGTTCCAAGTTGCTCAGATCGGGAGGATCCAAGGAAAGGGCTAGGATCGACTTTGGATCACCCATGTCGAGCAGTTTCGTGTTGAGGACTGTGTTCTCGAGAGGAGCTCTCAGGATTTCTGGTGATGCTTCCTCTTGCAGCACGGACTGAAATGTATGGATAAATCTTGAACGTTGGTCTATTATTTAGGCAAGATGTAAGACACTTATTTATCGGAGCTTAAGCTAAAGCCATTTTTAAAGTGTTGCAATACCGAAGCAAAGCTTGTACATTAATCGATAGGAGGTGAATATAAATTGTAACGATACCTCGAAGAATGATTTTGGTATTAATCTGTAAACTCTTCCATCCATGACCCGACCGGTACGTCCTGCTCGTTGCACACAGTTAGCTTTACTTGCCCAAACTAATTCTAGACTTTGGAAATTGGTCTTTGGATCCGTTACGAGTTGCTTCGTAAGGCAAAAATCGATCACTGAAAATGAGTCGGTAAATGTTAGTTATTAATTACTTTCCTGACATATTTAGCATAACCCTTAGTTGTTCGCCCCGTGAAGAACTTTGCGTACGCTTTTTGTGCAACACTCACCATATTTAACATCTGGTACCGTAATACTACTTTCAGCAATATTCGTCGATAGAATAATACGACGAAAACCAGTGGGAGGTTTTTCAAATATTCGCTGTTGCTCTTCGTTAGTAATAGAAGAATGTAATACAATCACATCCCACTTTGCGACTTCGTTTTTACTGGATGTTAGGATGTTGTACATCTCTTCTATTTCGTAAATTCCTGGCAGGAATATCAGAATCACGTGGCGAAGGAAAGACCCATCCTCTTTCTTAACTTCATCCTCCGTTTGCATATCGATTTCGTCGAGAACAATGATCAAATTAACACAAAAATTCATCATTCTCTCCGACACCTTGGGCTCCTCAGCTCGTACTTCTGGTAACTGAACGAAACATAGTTATCATCGTGGAAACGGAATAATGTTTAAAAGGCACGGCCTACTTTAATAAGTTTGTGACTTACAGGTCCTAGTTGCGCCATTTGGCAGAGGTAGTAAGTACTGACATTGAAATAACTCTTCTTCTCAATGTCAATTATCGGTGCAGGACTGAGCTTATTTTTAAGAGGAGATGAGAAATATTTGGAAAACTTCCCCACATTAAACGTAGCAGACATAAGTATCACTTTAACTGTGCGCGAATTGGTTCGCAATAATTTCCGAACCACCAGTAAGAGGAAATCCATTTCCTGGTTACGCTCGTGAACTTCATCTAGTATCACATGAGTGAAATCCAACATATGCTTCGTGTTTATCAATTTGCGCAGAAGAACACCCGTAGTGCAGAATGTCAATCGAGTATCGTGTGAGGTATTGTTCACCATGCCAACTTTATAGCCAACCAACGAGCCGATTGGCCATTTCCTTTCTTCGCTTACTCTCTTTGCTATACTAATTGCTGCAATACGCCTGGGTTGACAAACTGGAATATTAAAGAGTACTTAAAACATACGTTTCGGGTTTATACGGCTGCTTCTTTTTGTAAGATATTAATGAGCATGCGACCCGTATGGAAGAAATTAATTCGCAGTAATTTTTTGTAAGGACTTGCCTATAATGTTACAATGCTGCCTTTTCTTGAAGCAAGAATTAAGAACGAACTGAGGAACTTGAGTTGTCTTTCCACAACCAGTAGGACCCTGAATTATCACGACTGAATTTGTCTCGATCATCGATACGATTTTATCTTTCATGGAAGTTATAGTCAAGTTAATTTTTGGGCGGTACTCAAAATTATATGTTTTGTAAATTTTTGTCAATTCTTCGCAATTAATCTCGGCCAATGTAGGGAGAGTGCCCGTCGACACGGCATCAAAGTGATAGGAATTATCTCCAACAGCCGCTCGTATAGTATTAGCCGACTGAAAAAATTGGAATATAGAAAATTAATACACTGTAAATTTGTAATCCATAAGACTACAGCATTAATTTAGCGATAAAGGACTGGGATATACCTCTAACAGCCGTTCCTCCTCTTCTTTGACATATTCTGTAACGTAATCTGTTCCTTTCTCTTTTCTACGTTCATTATTTAATTCACTTTTCAAAGCTGACATGTCTAAAGGTACGTAGCGTCGACTTGTACTTGGAAGTAACATCAGTCTCTTCACAGGGACTTCCGATTGAAATAATAGCATTGGATCCATTTTTGCCTACATTATATCATCACAAGTATGTAATGATTTCTTTTCTCAATTAATACTAAATATAAGAAAAATACTCCTCCATTAAGTCACGGTAGTATATTTATACAAAATTAATGTTGAAAATCGCTGTACATAAATTAAATTAATATAACAAAAGTTATCAATCTCCTAGTAGTACTCCTTTATTTCTTTTAAATAGTATTACATATTCAAGTACCAAGTAATGCAAATTCTGTTTCTGATAAACCTCTGCTTACGAGAAATTAAGAAAAAAAAGTTAATCATATGAATAAAACAATATCTAAGGAACAATCGCAAGTTACAGTCGTGAAACTACCTGTTGAAATAATCCTGTTTGTTTCAACGAGAAATTATAGCAGTTATTCTTAAACCGTTTTAATACTGTTTGTTAGTAATTGAAACTACTAAGTTTAATGAGACTCACGTGAGTTTCTAACTAAATGCTCTGGTCTTAATTATTTTTGAAAAAGCTGAGTGCCGGTTCCTTTGTTACCGGAACATTATACCTCGAATGGCATGTTCTCTGTTTATTTCGAAAATTTCCTGGAATGAAACTGAAAGACACGATGATAAACATAGAAAGGATAAAGCATGTGCAGATCTTTGACCATGGATGTAAGAATATATGATGGAGCCCAAAGTCTAGAGTTCTAAATCTAGTAAGTTACGTCAGAAACGAAGAGAAATTCCCGGTAATTTATCGGTAATTTCTTCAAAGCTTTTTTTATCGAGAAATTATGAGAATTTGAATTTTTCAACAGAGCGAACGAGAGGTTTCGATTAGCTATAGAGAAACATTGTAGAGGGGAATTTCCGTTGTACGTTCTCCGTAGCCAATCAAAACCTCCCATTCGCTTCGTCGCAGAATGAAATATCAATTCGTTTGAAACAAATGGCATGGAATTTTCCGTGAAGTTGTACATACGTGAATATTTTTGGCTGGAGGTAAATACGACCCTATAATCAATATTTTCTAATAGTAATTATTACTCTTTAGCTTGAACTTTGAAGTTGCTTGAAAAAAAAAGTTATTTAAACGAAGAAACCTAAAGTATAAATAACAAAATTAATGTTCTCTTAAATTCTCAATGTTCCCGGTAACTTACGGTATGTTTCACAGTTACCTTCTCCAATTTAATGTTACCGAGCCTTTTCGAACTCTACCAAAGTCCCGTCTCAGACCAAGGGGGAATCTGACGCGTCGGAAAGAGAGGGGTAAGATAGCCATACTGTTGTGTCAATTATTTAGCTGCCCTGATTGGTAGGTCACCTACTTCATATTTCCTCTTTGATCTAACTTATTCATTTTTGCCACTCCTGGACGTAAAACATCTTTTAACCTTCTGTATGCTACCAGTGGCATATTGTACTTCATACACTGTTTATCCGTCCACATCCTCACCGTTTTTTACTAGTCACTCTTAAAGTGACAAGTGAATCTCAGCCAGTCAGAGGAAGCTAAGATTTTGGCACAACAATATGGCATATACAGATAACCTCAAAATCGCGGACCTCTCTACTAAATCGGTCTTCTTGGACTTTCGTGAGGTTTCTGGCGTTCGGGACTAGGGTTGGGTAATTTCACGATTTTCGAGGTGTTTGACGTATATTACGTAAATCAAGTAGTTTACCGTAGAAAACGTAGAAAACCAAGAGAAAACGTATCAAATATGGCGGAGAAGACAGATGTAGGGCATACGGTATTCCCTAGGTTATAAACATCCATCTTGTCGATTTGTTTCATCCCCTACTTTACTTTTTGATCTTCCACCTTTATACATTTTAATATAAATATTGGTTACGAATCTTACGACTTCAAATAGCCGTTATCAGCCGTTATAAACAAACGACAAATGCATATATATGCATACGTTTCAAATTTCCAAGGCTGATCTCGAATGTGCGCGGATTTGTGGAGGCGTAAAGTGCAATCCGCTTAATAGCCAAAGAGAATCTCCCTTAGAGGTAAATAGGTGGACTCTCATTGGCTATTGACGATGTTGCGCATGCGCTTTGCACGTTTAGTTTGAGGTAAATATACTTCGTACATACCTGCGTAGAAAATTAGGGACGTATTATACATCAAGTAATACCCACCAAAAACACCTTTGGTGTAAAAAAAAAAAACAAGTTCATTGCCTGATGTCATTTCACCTTCTGGAATCACTACGAACATTCCTACAAAGAATCAGTAGCCACTATCTTATTATTAATTTAAAAAAAAAATAGAACAAACCTTCTGAAATAGCAGTAGTAATCACTTCATTTTTACAAAAAAATACCAAAAAGTTATTTTTCATGTTCAACCTACTAAAGTTATGAAATCAACCGTTGCGGACAAGTTTAGACAATATGACCGGTGTACGGATGGCCTTTTAACGTAGTGAAATCAGTTACCGAAAGACAAGTACAAATACAGCTCGATTAATAACCGTCCCTATAACTTTGAATTGTTAATATATTATATGAAAGTATCAGTAAATAAACTTTCAAAAATATCTAACGATGTATGCTAGTATAACACTTTCATGGTTTATCATTTTCCTCGCTTTATAGCCTCCACTCGATTCTATAAGTGACTAATCTTTATTCTGAACAATTTAAAGGGTTGCTAACCGCAGTACCGAACTTGATGACTATAATTAAGGTCTCAAAAAATAGGAAAAAACATAAACGAAGCGTTTCGTGTAGGTTAAAATGTCTTCGGTCTTTAGTATGTCAGCACTGACCGAGTGAAGAAAATTAAATGCCCGCTGGCAAGATGTTTCGAGTATATAGAGTGGTAGCGACCATGAACTTGTCTGAGCCGCTACCGCGTCTCTTGATACTTGTATGTAGAAAACCACGTATATTACTTGACGTATTATACTTACCCAACCCTGGTCAACGCGAACAAACCTTATGTTTACCATGGTGGTGACACTCTAATCGTAGAAATTAAATGGTGTTTGCAGCGCCATCTGACCTAGTAGACGGAAGTGAAGAACTAATTTTGCGCTTGCGCGTTTCTCATTAAGCAATGACATCTATATTATTTCTTCGGAACCATGTGTACCCTGGTGACACCTATGATTTTCATTTTGTACCTTCTAGTCAATCTATCTTCTTTTGTTTATTTCAAATGTTTAAATCATTATAGTTTGAAATAACCTATAATGGCGTTAATAGCTGCTATAATAATACCGTGTAATGAACTTTAACAATGAATAATTACTGTAAAAAGTGTATCTATTATTTATATTCTAATGAAACTTAGTATTTTGTCAGTGCGTTCTTTATTACAATAAAATAAATATTAGTTCACATTTTGTTCCTATATTCATTTCATTATTCCTAAAAATGTCTTTTTATTCCTAAAATGACGAAATTATTCTACATTTCAAACACAACGCAGCACCGTAGGAAGGTTTATATGTAACTTGATAAGCCGAATGTAAATAACACTATTATGGGTTATATTTCTTTGAAACTGATAGATTATTATACAAGAAAAATTTTTAATTTATCTCATTATTATTTATATTTGTTCATAATACGAACCCGATCGATCTGAAAATAATGATTTCAAATCATATTGCATTAACTTAAAATTTATAATTGATAAGAAATGATTATAACTAAATTATAAAGTTAGAATTTTAAATAAATTATAATAACTGTGAGACTTGCAGCTAATAAGTTACTTAACCTTATTAACTGCAAAATGTACAGTATTATTAGATCATTTTTTCTTAAATAACAGTTTCTGAATGTCATTCAATTTATATTTATGGCGGGAAATTTGCTAGTTCATACTTCCGGTACTATTGTTCCAGAGGTCGCTACAAATACTAGTCTCGAAGAATAGCATGCGAGTGTCAGCCCCCTAATGTTTATCGGTCGTTTTCATGACAACGCGTGCAGCACGCTGACGGTTGACTGCGGTTGACTGCAGAGTTGTTTGAATACAATGCAGATGTTTCTTTCTATTTCCTTCCCTTTAGACTTAGATTCTGCAATTTTATTTTTGATTCTTTATATCAAGAAACTGATGAAATGGAGGAATTAATAGGTCCTAATCTTCAAGTTGTCCTCAGTATTAGAGAAGGTACTATTAATGTATTTATAAGCTTAATCTCGTGAGGACGTGAAAACTTGAAAGTACGTATTTGAACTACTTCATGCACAGTGAAGTAATTTATTTCATTTTGTAGGAAAAGGCTTTGATCAAATAAGACACCCCATTGCAATTGTTGCGACACTAAATGGAAATTCTTTGGAAACTGATTTTATTGAAACAGTAGATGGAAATCTTCAATACAATACTGACCTAGTATGGGAAGCAGATAAATGCTCACTGAGAAAGTACATATGAAAAATGAACTACTTCATATTTTTTGTCATCTATTATTATTATTATTATCTTGCGATCGTATGGCTTGTATAACACGTGTATAAATTTCTAGAATGCGAACAAGCCAGATGCCCTTGAAAGTAGAATGTTTTACCCGTAAGGAAAATAATAGTAAAGAAAAAATTGGATATATATTACTCAGTTTAAGATCGGCACAAATAATTACGAAAGATAAAGAAAAAAATGTGAAAGTAATTGAAAATAAGCTGCTTGGAGTCAAAAATGAGTTTAAACCATCTAAGCCTGAATTGTTAATTACATTAACCATTGAAGAACGAAGTGGTTTATTAACCACATGTGAGGTATTTCTTTTCTAGTTAAATTTAATTTATTCATTACCGATAACGATATAATTAAAAAAACAAGATATATTTTTCATGAACAAATAATACAGTTACAAGCTCATGCATCTGTAAATCATGAAATGTTTGCAATAGATGCGATAACACCAGTTTTATTATGTGATGAACAGTTGATACAATTGGGTCCCTTAGATTCCTGCCAAGAATTATTTCTGTTGAATATTACATCCTGTGCAATTGGAAATCTAAATTTCCTGTTAAGGGAAAACAGTAGAACATTGAATGAACAACTAAATGTCTGGTATCGAGTTTTAGAAAATTATATACATCTTAAGTCTTTCAAATGGAAATTGGAAAAGCCTACGTATTTAAATGAAAAAATTGTTATTCGCATTAAAAGCTCATTGAATGTTTTAAAGGACTATTCACAAGGAAACCACATCTATTTATAACTTTTCATCAGGGACAAAATGTACTGAGAGAATCTGATATTGATTTAGGTCCTTTAGTATCTGTAAGTGGTATCCACGAATTTTTGAAGTACGTAAATACTAACACAACTTTAGAATAACGTTGTTTCTTAACAAATAAAACAAATGGCAGCAGCTTTTCAGATTTTAATGCAGATGATTCTTTTGCCTACACGATTATAGCAAAAATGTTTGTTATCATAAATACATTCTACGTAATGGTTTTTCATTTTCATTAGTAGGAAAGAAAGCTTTTTTAGATTTGAAATTAACGTCGCAGTATATTGAGATTAAAAGTATATATTCAACATGAAATAATATTATGCAATTGAATCATACGGGTGCATCCTTGTCAGCGATTCATCATTCAATGAGATACGAAAATTCTGTTCATTGCATGTGTAAAACAGATAATCAAAATTTGGTAATGAATTTAATAAATGCTGTACTTATTCCGTTTTTATAATCGTTTTTATAGTAGTAAACAATTTCAGGGACTATCAGAAATAAATTCTCACAGTAATCCCTATGGTAATCTTGAAACATACCTAAGCAAAGAATACTGTTCATTGCGTTGCAAAAATTTACAAAACCAACACGCAGGTCATGAAACCTACAGAGATACAGAGTCTTGCCATGTATCTAATAATTCAATCAACCCTACTGTCTTCTTACATGCTGAGAAGGATTATTGCAAAAGTGTGGAGGCATATCATTGTTATTGCTTAAATATTCAATTAAATGATATAAAATTACAATCAGCTGGTTTAGCAATTGAAGATGTTGAATTTCGGTAATTATATATTAATTTAAACCTTAATCTTTTTGCACGCACACCACGGTGCCATTATTATCTTTACTAGCTAAATCATAAAACATACTTTTTTTTCCGTTCACTAGTTTTCATCACCCCAAGGCTGAGATCGTATCAACATTCTACCCAAAAATGCCTATTTCATCGGGGGAAACATTAAAATTGGAAGATATCGGATGCAAATTGCATTTCATATCGTCTACGACTGAAATATGTCATTTACTTCTGTCTTATCCACCAAAGATTAGTGTACATGATGCCGGAAGCAATGTAAAAGCATCTGCAGCACAGATAATTCTTGATGTGAAACGATTATTTAACACCAATAAGGTAATTCATGATGAAGTAACAAAATAAGTTAAAACCCATAAAACAAAGTTCTAATTTGTGTCATATGTGTTAACAGTTGGAATGTCGATATGAAGCCCCTCTGTTTGATAAAGAAAAGAATACAATAGGTTTCATAGATATTTCCATGTATTTAGAAGATCACGGTCCATATTATAGAATTAAAAAGAAATCTGGTAAGATTTTCCTTAAAGTAAACTATATATAATTGGAAAGTGTTTAAAATAATATCGTCATTCAGGTGAAAATCTCGGACCACCAATTCTCGATGACAATCTGGCTTATAAAATTGTGAACGAATTAGAAACATGGAAGGATAAACAGCAAGAAATGTTCACGGCAGAGGTATTTTTGTGAAGTTCTTGGAATGGGACAGATGTCAATGTATTATATGTACAAATTTATTTGTATCTATTAATAGTTGAAACGAAAGGAAGAACAGCATTTAAATTTGCTAAGTGAAGAGTGGCGAAAGCGTAGAGAATCTTTAGAAACAAAGTTAGCTTATAGTGTGGAACAATGCAAAATGCTGGCTAATAGTTTAAATAATGCTACCGAGGATTTACGAACTCGAAAACTGAAAAGCATTGAAAAAGAAGCTCAATTAATCAAAGCAAATGAAGAGCTACAGTGGAGGTATGACCACAAGTTGCATGAACTGAAAACAACTTCACAGCAAATACAAGATGAACTCATTTCAAAGGTATAGTATGAAAACAACGTGCTTAGATGTTATCTGCATAGATTATCAAAACTTTCGTCCGTTAATTTATAGACATTTTTTTTTATTATTTCGTCATGTTGCAGCTAAACGATCTTAAAGAGCAGAACCAAGCAGTAAAATTACAAATTGAACCGCTGAGACTAGAGAATGACTGTTTGCAACAAACTATAGAGAAACAAGCCAAAGAACTTGAAATGCTTCGAAAAGAAACTCTAACACAAGATCAAACTACTTCCTTGCTGCAGGAACTAAAAGTATTGGACGAGAAATTAAATACTGCTCAGAAGAGCAAATTGTATTTTAAGGAACAGTGGGGAAAAGCTGTACGAGAAATACACAGAGTGAATATGGAACATCAGCAAGCCATGGAAATACAAATTAGGAGTAGCAAGGAAGAATTAAAAAATATCAAGTATGTTTCAGTCTTTAATTATTATTTATTTGATGTCAATGGAGCAAAATTCTGAAATAAATATACTTTTGTGTTATTCAGTGTGGAAGACATATTGTGTGCAGATTCATCTGCCTTGACAAATGATCAACTTCTTCTGGACCAGATTCAGAAAGAAATTGATGTGATTAAGCCTAAATCAATATCTCCATCGAAAAATCTAAGTGAACATCTGTGTGCTCTTCCTAACCATACGTTTGATAAATCAAACCACAATTTTGCAAAATCAGAGGTATCGACTAATTCTGAAGAACGCGACAAGCGACTACAAATGCTACTAGAAGAGCGTGACTCTCTTATGAGAACGGGAAGTTATGCCATCGACGATGCAGTTATTGTTAAATTAAATGGAGAAATTCGATCCCTTCTAATATCCAGTTGAAATTATTAAATAATTGGTATTACGATTTTCAAAGAAACGTCCATACAGTGCTCCATATCAGAGGTTGTGTGGCGGATGGTGCGATAATAGTCATGGCAGCGCAGTGTAGGTCAGTGAGACTAGAATTTCGAAACTAACATTGAATCTCACAGGTTTTATTAACTATGATAGCATACTATTTACAATATTTTATTATTAATAATTAAAATTGTACCTATAAAATAAAAGGTTTCCATCCTAATTAGTTTTCAGTTAAAAATTGTTTCGTCTCTAAACAGGCAGATGATAAATGGATTGTAACGTTCGTAAAATTAATAGTGTAGGTCCAACGGGACAAAGTTGTAAAAATCCGTATAAAAAAGAAAAAAATTTGAAAATACTTCATCGGAGAATGAAATAACTACAGTATAAAAATGTATCATATCACTTTATTTTTTTTTTTCTTTAAGTTCTGCTATAATATTAGGAACAAAGGTTAAAAGTTTTTCAGGGGGTATTTGGAAATTGTGCTCCAACCAAATAGCTTTCAAAGCTGTCATCACTGGACCGATCATTTTTCCATGTGGAACTAGTGGTTTTAACATATGTCCATTAATTGGGAACCTTGGAATGTCCCATTTCTCAAACTCATTCAGAAGATTCACGTCACCTCTATATTTAAGCACTTCACTAACAAATGTCTTAGAATCCTGAACTTTTCCTTTGAATATTAATGTTAGATGTTGATAAGGTTTTAGTGGATTTTCACAAGGCCTATCATGCCTATTGTGAACAATGAATAGTGCTAAATCCCTGTCATATGCAGAGAGCTTTAGCCTTTGGTGTAAGTTCATCACCTCTCCTTCATCTTTCAGCATCGATGTGATGAGAACGATAGGTTTGAGCTTTAAACCATTATTCATGGCTCGTGAATAAACATTTTTGAAGCTTCTAAGATCCAAGTTTGCAGGAAGACCAATATACTTAGCCATATCGCACTCTATCATTTTTATCATTAATTCTCCTGCGAACCTTCCTTCTAAAATTTTACTCCATTCACTCCATATTCTTTCACCGGAAATATTCGACATACCCTCAACATTCTCTTTTATTGCTTTTATAGTTGCATCCTCGTGACTATTAGAGTCATTAGCAACTCTACCATAAAAGCGAAAATATCTACAGTTAAAATTAAAATGTTATTTATCTTCTGCTACTTGTCATAAATTAGTATTTTTATTATATTATTACTATTGTTGATGTTTTCACCTGAGAATTCTGAGATAATCTTCCTGAATCCTAGTAGATGCATCTCCTACAAAGGCAATCCGTCTTTTCTGTAGATCTTCGTATCCAAAAAAGTAATCATAAACGTGGCCATCGAGATCAAGAAACATAGAGTTAATGGTGAGATCTCGTCTATTTGCATCGAGCCTCCAGTCGGTAGTAAATTCCACATCCGCCCTTCTTCCATAAGTAACAACATCAATTCTTAACGTAGTGATCTCGAAATTTTCTTTGTTGTTGATTCTAGATGTTACCGTTCCATGCTTTTCTCCATTCATATTTATCATTCTAATATTTTCCTTAGTAAACATATCTTTCATTTGATCTGGCGTCGCTGTAGTTGCAAAATCAATATCCTTTGGCATCATTCCCATTAACATATCACGGACTGCACCACCTGCTATTCTAATTTCAAAGTTATACTTCTTAAATAAATCGGATAGGATATTCAATTCTGGTGTAAAGATTGAATGAAATTCAGGTGTATCTAGTTTCATAATAACAGGGTCTTCTCGGTATCTTGGTAATTTTTTGGTTGCCATTTCAATTCTCTCTTGTCTTTCCAATTGTGTTAAAAACCTTACATGCTGTAAAGATTTATTTGTATTGATTTATTAATATTTAGTATTCGACCTATTGTATTTGATCAAATTTATATGAAATTGTATAAAATTAAATGATTAAGAATATATATTTTCCATCCGTATATTATGAATTTTTAACCACATCCTGAAGTAATTAGCTTAAGCAAAGGTTATTAAAATATTCCTTAATCCTACTTTGCTTTTAATTACTGGCTCCAAAAAAAAACATACGTACGAATGACGAGACACGGGAAAAAAGAAATTTTATTTTCCCCAAAGACACCAGAGTGATTACCATCATTAACCACACTTCAGCAATTTTGCTTGTTTACATGAATCAAAAAGGATTAGATAAAGCAGAACAGATGGACACTTTTAAGCCGATATTTCATTAACGCTGCATGGGCACGCGACAGAGCGACCAAGCACAAATAAAACGTTCTGATTTGCTGCAGAGAAACAGCAAGGCGTTTGTATTTTTGACGAGAACGCTCACTTCTCGCATTTTCATCTCATATGAGTTTATTCACCGAATTACGTATTCGCTATATGAAAAAAGACTAGCACTTCCGGTCTAGTAATTAAATAAAGGTACATACCTTGTAAATTGAAAATTTGTCGAAAGGCAGTGAGTTATAGGCAGAAAAGGCGGGAAGATGGAAAGCCGTTAAAAGTAAAGAAGAGGACTTGAGTCTATTCATATTTTCTAAATATGTATTACATTCATATTTACATGTAGTTCAATAATATAAGTTTCTTATCATGTCATGTAAGCATGGATTATTTAACAGTCTTCAATGTTTAATAATGTAATATAACCTCGCAATAACAAAAACTAACTAGTACATCCTAGTAAATTCTCTTTCTTCTAACGAAAATGGGTCTGAGGCATCACGTAATTCGCTTCTTCGTCTAATAAGGTTATTATTACGTTCCCGAATACGATTTTTGCTAAAAATCAAAACACCCAGGAGGTTTTCCACATTGAATTTCGGCGTCGCAATCTGTGGAAGATAGCGTTTACAGCGCTTATTTTTCTACCTTTTCTTGTATGCTTCACCATTTCGCTTAAAAATTTGTGTCGAGCCAGTTCATATGAATAGTCTCGCATTTTTACCACCAAAAACGTTCCGTAATACCGTGAGCTACTCATTTTTCACATTTTCGCTCGATTTGCTGTTATAATTATTTTCATGGATTAAATGCGATCTATAGATCGCATTTAATCCATTTAATTATTACAATTATTATACTAAGAAACTACAAACTGTTCTTGATTTACACTTTTACTCACAAACTCAAGTTCGCGATTTAACACGTTCCCTGCCAGACCGTTTTTTTAAGACTTTCCGTTCAGGCCGCGTGGGGCGTATACGCCCCACGATCAAATGTGTGTATCAACAATAGCATTAAGATGCCCATAATTGACTGCATAATAAATTTTTCAAAAATTCTTCGTTTTACAATGATAATACCAAATGGCTTGAACGGAAAGTTCAGTGTGGGGCGCATACGCCCCACGCGGCAGGGAACGTGTTAATACCCGAGGTAATCGAAACTTGTAAAAATATTGCCACTAATTGAGGTTAGGTTCACTTGGGTTCACTTGTCTCGACTATTTTCATACGCATCTACGCTGCGCCTCCTGGAGTCTCTTGCTATTGGTTAGAATATTTTTTCTCTGCTGTTCCCTTTCTATTAGAGTGAGAGGTAGCGACACTAGCGCAGTCTTTGCTTGGAGTAGGTGAACTAACTTCCGCGTTACACTCCTCCCATAAGGAGTGTCGCCCCCCTGCCCTAGAGCAAGAAATCTTCCGACGTGCGTTTAACATTTTCTGTCGCACGGAAGGTTAGAATTTAAAATTTTTCGAATTTTCTGCGACGTCAAATCTCAGACCGTACACCGGCATTGATCGATGATTTCCTCGCGGACCTACTGCCCTCTCCATACGCACAGTTTACTAGCGGCAGAAGCAGCTAAGAATTTAAATCGTTCAAGGGGCAGAATGGATTTCCTAAAGAAAAAAAATGTTTATAAACAAACACAATTAATTATTTACATATTATTGTGAAGTGTCCCTGACCTACTTAATGTAGTTTTTGTTAAATGATTATTTACAGAGTTTCGTAAAGAATATATTAAAACATGTTTTATTAAAAGTTAACAAGTTTCTTAGCGATTCAATTGTTAAATCCATTGAAACGAAATTAGAATATTATCTTAGCTTAAAAAAAATAGTTTATTAATATTTATACAGTGAAATGCCATAGGAAAATTTACAATGCATCCACTTTCCGATATAGAAGCGGAATCATGATTTCATGTCTTATATATATTTACGTTCTACAGCTTTAGGAAATCCATACTGCCCCTTGGGCGATTCAAATTCCGCGCTGCTCCCGTTGTTAGTACGCAGTGCGGCTGGAGAGGGCAGTAGAGCCGTGAGGAAACCATCGATGAATGCCAGTGTTCAAGCCTAGATGAGCATCTCTGGTAAGTAAGAGCAATTATGCCAATGTGATCGAATTGATATTCGGTGGTAAATTGTTGAAGCATCTAATCGTGAAAAGTTATATTTATTTTCAAATGAAGGTACATGTAAATATTAGATTATAAAAAAAATAATATAATTCCAGACTAAAGGAACTGGAAACATTTATGATCTACAGTCTAATAAAAAAATTGTATGTAAATACTTTTTGAAAAGGAAGCACGTGGTTTCATATATTTCTCATAGTGTTATTTGTATTCATTAATTTAATTAATTTTTACCTGATAATGACTATAATTATAATTAATGGAGAAAATCATTAAATATTAATGCTTCTCACTTAAGCTGTCAAATAAAAATCGACGTTAATCGTGGACATTATGAGACACAATAAGGAAAATATTGTTTTTTCTGACGATGATATTGTAAGTTCAAGAGGAGATCGTAATGCAGTTGAAACCGATGAATTTAATGAGGATGTGGAGCCACATGATATTTGCAAAAGACACATGAACAATAAACGAAAATTATCAGGTGATACTGAAGTTATATCAAGGAAGAAGGGGAAAGTTGATAAAGACTTGTACAAACCACCAACAGTGGAAGAATTAAACCAACTTAAGGAAACAGAAAATTTGTATCATTCAAATTTATTCAGACTTCAAATTGAAGAGATTCTAAACGAAGTTAAAGTTAAAGAAAAATATAAGGTTTTATTTGAGACTTGGTTTACAAAATTGAAGCAAACAATTGAATCGATTGAAGAAACTGAAGAATATAAGGTACATCAATATGTAAAATATATTACTTATGTAAGGTAGAATTTGATCTTTAACCTTTTCGCTACAGCGGGCCTCGCCATGGAATCCCTCCCATAGAACAGGGCACCGTGCCAAAAGTGTAATCATTGCGCGCTTCAATTTGTATAAAGAAGATAGCGTTTTTTGGCCGGTGACTATAGTCGACCGTTGGGTGTAAGTGGCATTTTGTGGCTAGTGACTATAGTCACCCGTCATAGCGAAAGGTTTAAAACATATCCAACCATTCTTAGTTATACAAAGTAGTTCTAAGACAGAAAGAACGTAGATGTGGTATTTCTATGTAGCCATTATGTACTTAACTATTTGTAAATTATAGATCGGTATTGTATTCGTTAAAGTATCATGATATTCTTTTATTATTTTAGTTATGGTATGTTATAATGTCATTTTGTTTGTTTAGTTATCAAACGAAAAACCACTGGGCAATTTAGATGTAGAAATTCCACTTGGAATTACTTTGAAAGATGTACGAGGATTCTATAGATTTTTAAGACCATCAAACATCAGCCTTGTTGGATCGTATGCACTTGGAACAATGATAGGCCCACGCATTACAGTAGATGTGATGATTGAAATGCCTGCTAAACTGTTTCAAAAATCTGATTGTCAAAATTATAAATACTGCAGGAAAAGAGCCATATACTTGGCATATATTGCTTCAAATATACAATGTGATATTGCAGAAAGCAAAACATTTTTACACTTAGGCGACAATAGGAAACCAATTTTGAAGATTATTCCATCTGGGAAATTAGGACAAAAAGTCACTGTTTATTTGCACGTAGTTCCTGAAGAAAGCAGTTTTAAAATGAATAGATTTCATCCTGAGAAAAATAACATCAAACCTGTTTGGTACTTCGATGAAAATGGTTCTAAAGGTGGGAATATCTTAATCTTTTTCATAAATACCTCTGTTCAAGGTCTGTACTTGTTTATGAAATAATCGTGTACTTTATTTGAAGATACCGATATGACACCAACACCTCATTATAATTCCGTTGTGTTGCAAGACATGACAATGTTACGGACTAATTTGGAAAATGTAAATAGTATAAAAGAATATCTAAACTTGAGAAATGGCATAATTTTGTTGAAAATTTGGCTGGCACAGCGTCAACTGAATGGGGGTTACGATGGTTTCGGTAATCATGTCCTAACAATGTTTGTTATACATTTATTACGTACAAGAAAAATTAGTACAATTATGAGTAGTTATCAAATAGCGCGCAATGTATGGAATCAACTTGGTAAGTTACCAGCTGAATTATATGAAATACAATAACATTTCCCTATATCTGCACATATGTTGTTGAAATAAATTAATGAATCTTTATTTATAGCTCAATGTGATTGGACTGAAAATGGTATATCGATGTGTCAGAATGGTGATAACCAAAAGCAAATATCTGAATACCATTTGTACTACGACTGCGTTTTCATTGATACAACTGGTTACCATAATTTAGCAGCAAATATATCTAAGGAGACTTTTAGTTGGATACGCGAGGAAGCGCATTTAGCTTTAAAATATTTGGACAACTCAGTTTTAAACAGTTTCCAAAATTTATTTATGAAAAAAGTGCCTTTTTATAGAATGTTTGATCATCTCATATGGTGGGTATTTTTAAAATTAAAAACACTAGTTCTTTAAAAAAAATATAATTATGTTTAAAAATGATTTAGTTTCCATGATGAAATTGCTTTGAGGAAAATGGTCGAAGCAAAATCATCAAAATCTTCCAAGCTTGATTTTGGCACGAATGAACGCGCGGAAATCATCAAAACAATTGTGCCGATTTTAAAAAAAGGTTTAGCATCTAGAGTTTCATATATTGGAGTTATGCCTGGAGAATCTAAAGAATGGACCATTAGGGAAAGATTTCCTAAAGTAATCGGACCTATTTATATTGGCCTACAGTTAAATCCAGATTTCTGTTTCAATGTTATCGATAAAGGACCCAAAGGAAATTTGCCAGAGGTAAACGTGTAATTTAATATAACACAAAAATAAAGAGTAAATAGTAATACATGCGAATGACATAACATTCAGTTGATCATGTTTAATATGTTTAATATTTTCCGATACGTTTGTTTATGATAGTGTACGATTATGTATGTTTATGTAAGATGCTTGATTGAGCTTATAACATATATTCTATTTTAGAGTCAGTAACACAAACCATTTCAGAAGGAACAGCTCGATGTGTTTTCAGTTGTATTTATTCTCAAAATTTAACTGCTACGCTAATTAAATTTAATCTTTTATAGACGCATATATTTAGATGTAAATTTAATTCTATTAATTGTAAAAGTTAAAAGACTAGAGTTCTAGTTTGTTCTTCTAACTTGTTGAAGTTAGAAGAACAAAATGAAAAATAGATAGAATCAAAGCACAAATATATTCAGCTTGATAGGAATGTTTATATTGATTGTTGCAAACAAGGAAAATAATGAAACACATGTAACTAAGAACTTGTGGTTGATCTTAATTAGGCATAATGATCGATCCTATTAATTGATAAAAATATCGTCAAGGGATCAATTTATAAGATATGTGAATTTAATTCTCCAGCAACTTGCCCATGGAAAACTGAGCATGCTTGATAATCGGAACATTTGAGAGGATTAATATTGACATAACACGTTCTCCCCAAATATCTTTGAAGTCAATAATGTATACTTTGGTCTCCTACAACAGGCAAAAGAATTTCGAGATTTTTGGGATGATAAGTCCGAGCTACGCCGCTTTCAAGACGGTTCCATATGTGAAGCAGTAGTCTGGGATGAAGGAAAAACTCTAGCTTCGAAAAGAATCATATGCAAGAAGATCGTGGCCTACTTGCTACAACGAAAACTCGAACTCTCAAATGATAACTTCGTTTACGTTGCTGATCAAATGGAGGAATTCTTAACACTTAAAAAGGTAATGCGAATTTTATACTTAAGGTGAAGTGAAACACGTCGAGGAACTTGATCGACGTCGATAAAGAAGATTTTTCTAAATGCCTACGTTGCCGACGTTCGTTTTTATATTGACAGCTGGGACGAATTACATTGGGTATTGTACTACATGGCATACTCCATGTGTCGTTTTCATTCAATAATTATAAAGAAATCGAAGTAAAACTCCAGAAATCCTATTAATGCATGCTTTCTGGGGCCCTAATTGACTGCAGAGGGGCACTCTGCGCCATCTGTGATTTCCAGGTCAATTTAATTTGTACTATGAGTCTTCGTATTCCTATTATTTTTGCATAGAAGCGGATAAGACACATTTTTTGCCTTTATCCCGTTCAAATGCAAGTGTATCGATTACCAGAGTGTTCTAAATTGTCTTAACATTGTCCTGACCTTTTCGTTTCTCACATCAGAGTCTTCGATAATTGTATATTGATCGAAATATGAGAGCTCGACGCCATTTTGGTTCTGGTCTGGGCTAAGTTAACATTTTCTGTTTTTAAATTCAAATTTTAAATGTGTCAGGACAATTCTTAAATGATCACGAGTAATGTGTCATAGTTACGGACAGTTTGGTCCAATACCCTTACAAAAAAGTGTTGTATTCGAATCGATTGATTAGAAGGGGGTTTCACTTCACCTTAATCAGAATTTTGATACACGAAGTGTGATGCACGTATGTATGCTTGAAAATAAATTCGTACAATCTTGATATTTCATATAGACTAAAACAACAAAGTTTACATACGGCACCGGAGAGGAAGCAGCGCTTGAAGTTATTTTAGCATTTAATGATTTAGAAAAGAAATTAGCATCGTTAACGGATTTACCTCTGGCAATAACTGGGGTGCAGGGATCCAGCTCAGTGCTTCGATATACCAAAGTGTTTCCACCTCTCGCAACGGCACCTCGAGTTCAACCTGGAATTACCGAAGAAAGTGAAAATTGTCTTATACTGAAAGAGCGTATGTTGGAAATAGTTCCTCGACTTGTTCATTCAGTCGAGGGAACCATACAATTATCTACCAGCGGAAAATGGCCAGATGAGCTGGAAGCTATTCAAAAAATGAAGGCTGCCTTTAATATTCAGATTGGAGAGGGTCTTAGGAAACAGTATCAATTAAGAACACATGCCAGTCTGCAGCATCTTGACGTAATGAAAGTATGTAGTCAACATCATTTTATAGGAGTTAAGTTTCCGATAAGGTGCATTAATTAGTGTAATGGGTTTCCACGGGGGTAATGTTTGCATGAATATCTGCTCTAATTGTAAGTTTTTTTGGCTAATAAGCAATAACCGTCAGATGGCATGGCACTCGGGAATATTTTCAGCGCGGAAACCATATGCCACTTTTGGTTTTAATGAAACAATACCTGGAATGTACCTTACCGATTCTTTTTATCGATTCATATCTCTTGGTTCACGAAATACCAAATGTTTTGATTTTTAAAGCTGGTAGCCAGTTTTATAACATGGCACGACATATAGCTGGTAATTTGGGAATTTATTGCTTAGCAATTTACTATTTTGATCATCTATTTATTATAAAATCTTTATTTCACTCATTAAAGTTAACATGGTTTTTTCAAGTTTTGTTGCCATTACCTCCGTCTTGCAATTATTCTATCTGTCAAAGCAATATTAAAATAATCTATAAAGTCGGCTTCCCCCCCACATTAGGAATTTTCAGACCTGTATAAACGACCGTGTTCCCCGTTAACTTTCTTATGTTGATATACTTTCAACAGAATGTGGCAGAACAAACAGACCGTTAAGATAAAGTGAAACCCTCCTTAAGATGATATGAAAGGCGTTGAGGAATTTAATCGAGATCGATAAATTAAAATTCATCTATACCCTTTTTACTGGTAACGTCATTTTGAATTTGTTTTCTTTTTTTTCTTTTCTTGCTACGACACCCTTTCAAGAAGTTTTCCTCTTCACTATCCGAAGATCCTTCTATTTCTCCACTTTCAATGCAAACTTTCACTCTCATCTTCNAACACAAAGAATTTTTTATCAGAGCTTTCATAAAAGCCTTCAACAAAAAAGACTTGCAACAAATAATTTCACAATATTGAATGTGCAAGTTTGCAATAGATATCTAACTAGTGAATTGACAAGTTTGAACATGAAAACTATCGAATCAGATTGTTTACAAAAAGTTTCTATGGACAAGGAATAAGTTACATACATGTGGGTAAAACGACCTACTTAAAAAATATTTAATGAGTCAATTGACTCACATCCGTTAAAATAGGTATAGCACATATGGATTTTTGGAACTAAGGAGGGGGGAGAGGAAGAAATTAGCATTTGTATACATTTCATAATTTTATTAAAAACCAACATATGTTTTAAAAATAAATTATTCAAGTTCTTCTATATATATATAGCAATAAAATCGTAAATAAGTCAAATTGATTCGTTTTAGTAATCTAGTGTTAAAACTCTATCGAGCTTTTTGACCGATAGAATTCGTTTTCATTCCATATAGGTTGACTATTCAATTAATATATATTTAGTTGAAACTTTACCAAGATTCGTGATAAACGCTTATAATAAAATTTCTTTAGATGGTTATCTAGTTCCCAATCGATGAATGTGTGTCTGGTAAACATAGTTGATGGTTGTATTTGTTCTAGGAAGGCTTTGTGTTTCGACTGAGGATAGCGCAACAAAAAGAAATAGCTTTATTAAAACAAGAAATTGGCGAAGACGGTGTAATTAAGTATAGAGATAACGAGGAATCAATCGCCCTGGAAACAAAATTATTTAATTTACCTAAATTGAATGGTGCTTTGCATGGGTAATTATATTGTTTCTTTCTTCACGTGTATACTATGTTTAAGGCCCCAGTAGACGTGAGTTGGCCATTTTGAATTGGTGGCAGCCAATATTTTGCGAAACGACTGACATTTTCAATCTTACACGGAAGGTACCTGAGGTGTCCCCCTCCGATTTTGTTCATTTTTAAATTTGTTATAGAGGACTAAAATCTAAGGGACCCGTGTTTTTTTTTATCGGCGGATAACCACTTAGGGGGTGAAATCAGGCTTCAAAGTTGGCCGTGCAAGGGGGTGAGTTGGCTGTTTCATATAGAAGCACTTGACCGATTTTCATGAAACAACCGTCAAAATGTAGGGAGTGAAGAATTATGAAACATGTATTTGGAATTTTTCGAAAAAATTCATTTTTAAGGGGTGAGCCACCCCTTTGAATACTTCTTTTGCCCCTTACGCGAGTAGTAATTGCTCTATCCAAATGAAACTTGGTTAATTAATAGACCAGGATAATACAAAAAAAAGCATATTTTGTTTTTTTTCGAAAAACGAATTTTAAGGGTTGTAACAACCCTTTAATAAAATGATGTATAATCTCGTTTTAAAACCAGCTTTGTTCGACTTTCTTGGACTAAAAGGACTTTAACGATTAAAATTAATAAAAGAATACGGTCAGGTACCATCCGATACATTCGAAGGGTAAATTACCCCTTGGGTTCAAAGGAATGTGATTCGTAGAATATAAGACAATGGAGTTAGCTGTCCTCGTAACTAGTGCGTAGTCGAGTGGTAATGCCGCGCGAGCGAGCAGTATGCAGTGCCAGATTTTCAACTACTATGTGTTAGTAATACTTCATTCTCTCATCTTTAAAAACTACAGTTACAATGTAAAATACAAACACGGTTACGTTCGGTTTTTATATTAATACAATCTAAATATAAAACAATGTAATCCGTCTACACGATTCGATGATTGTTTTATATTTATATTGAATTAATGTAAAAACTGAACGTAACCGTGTTTGTATTTTACATTGCAACTGTAGTTCTTAAAGATGAGAGAATGAAGTATTACTTACACATAGTGGTTGAAAATCTGGCACTACATACTGCTCGCTCGCGCGGCATTACCATTCGCCTACGCACTAGTTACGAAGACAGCTAACTCCATTGTCTTATATTCTACGAATCACATTCCTTTGAACCCAAGGGGTAATTTACCCTTCGACTGTATCGGATGGTACCTGACCGTATTCTTTTATTAATTTTAAACGTTAAAGTCCTTTTAGTCCAAGAAAGTTGAACAAAGCTGGTTTTAAAACGAGATTATACATCATTTTATTAAAGGGTTGTTACAACCCTTAAAATTCGTTTTTCGAAAAAAACCAAAATATGCTTTTTTTTTTGTATTATTCTGGTCTATTAATTAACCAAGTTTCATTTGGATAGAGCAATTACTACTTGCGTAAGGGGCAAAAGAAGTATTCAAAGGGGTGGCTCACCCCGTAAAAATGAATTTTTTCGAAAAATTCCAAATACATGTTTCATAATTCTTCACTCCCTACATTTTGACGGTTGTTTCATGAAAATCGGTCAAGTGCTTCTATATGAAACAGCCAACTCACCCCCTTGCACGGCCAACTTTGAAGCCTGATTTCACCCCCTAAAAGTGTTTATCCGCCGATTAAAAAATACACGGGTCCCTTAGATTTTAGTCCTCTATAACATATTTAAAAATGAACAAAATCGGAGGGGGACACCTAAGGTACCTTCCTTGTTAGACTAACACTGGGAGTACCTAGATAAACACGGAATGTGTGGATGGGTCAGTTTTCGCCGGATCATGCAGTAGGAAACGAGATGTCACTTTCCAAAAATTGATCTGCCAAGGCCAGTGATAGACTTACGAGTCCAAGGCAATAATCATGAGACACAATATCATCGCAAACACAGGCTAACCGATACACATTACAAGTCCACTGATTACTTCGGCACCAATAACTTGATGACACTATGAGTTGCAAGAGTTTGGAGAAAAGTTATCCAAAGCTCCAGTTGTCACCTTTCATCTTAGGCCTTGTTATATCTAGATTTCGTATTGGACCTCCCACTTCCAAATTTTCAATAAGCAGAAAGGCTTTAATTGTGTGGGTGAGTAGTGAAAAGCATGTTGGCAAAATGGGCAAAACAATGTCGCTAGTATCGCCATTATAGGAATCGATTAAGCTTCGCACATTTTACGCAAGTGGCGCAAAGATCATTTACGATTCCGGCTACGTCTACTGGGGCTGTAAGGTGATACGAAAGGCGTCGAGAAATTTAATCGACGTCGATGAAATCAAATTCAACTATGTCCTTCTCAACGGCAACGCCATTTTGGATACCCGAGAGGTAATATAACCTAGCACGCCACGGTACCGACATTTATATTATGTTGACGTCTGTTACGTTCTACATAGAGAATCATACAAAATGAAGTGCTTCATATGTCATTTCGAAAGGGAAGTTCCCCAACCCGGAAATTCAAAAAATTTTGAAACTTGGGGGATATTTAGAGTGTGCCTAGGTGAGTCACAATTTTTTTTTCGGCGGTAAATCACTTTAAAATGGTGAAATTCTCCCCTAAAAATGATTCGATTTTCAGTTTTCATTTTATTTCTCGCAAACGATGAGAGATACGGCAAAATTTTTCCAATAAAAGATAATTCTCTTAAGGTGATGGGAAGGGCGAGCTTTAACGGCCGGTTGCGCGGATAAACTTTTTTAAAAGATGGATGAACCGAATCGCCTGAACCTTTGGCACACGATTATGGAGATGATAAGACCGGCTTTAACCATCGAAAATACATTTTTTTTTTAATCTGACGTAGACCAGAATTAAGTTACGTATTTTTGCCATAATTCTTTCAGCCTTCTAGAAGGCTCTAAAGTAACATCGGTCTAAGGAATAAGAATGAGGACATGAAGTATTTCCTATTCATATAATTCGCAATACAGAAAGCAACAGACAACGTAAATATAAATGTCGTTAACGGGGCATGCAGATTCAAATAGTCCATTAAATTTATAAATAGTCGATTAAATTTTTCGATGCCTTTGACGTCACCTAAAGAATAGAAAATACAATAATATTTAACGTCTTTTTTGGGACATCCTTTTTTAGTTTACATACGCAACAACCTTCATTTGGAGCTGCATGTTGCCTCTCAAAACGATGGTTGGCATCGCAATTAATAGACAATTCCCATATGCCAGATATTGCGGTGGAATTAATTTTAGCGGCGATATATCTTAGACCTGAACCATACAGACCGCCACAAATGCCTCAAATTGCATTTTTAAGATTTCTGGAATCATGTGCTCGAAATGATTGGAGTACTGACCCCATTATTGTAAATTTCAACGATCTCCTGTCCAGTGAGTTTCTAACAATTTTTTACTTTAATGACGACGCCAGTAAGATTAACGAATTAAAATGCATTCCATATTTGATGTTTCAGAGGAGGAGATTCTGGAGATCGAAAACCTTTTCGGTACAGCGCGTGATACGCTGCCACCACTTTTCATCGCTACACCTTATGACTTAAAAAGATCATTGTGGACGAAGAAAGCGCCTACTCAAGTCATACTTAACCGTATCAACTGTTTAGCAAGAGAGGCTTTGAAACTCTTCGAATTACAATTGTTTAGTGGAGCGATACTAGACTGTAAACCATTATTCAGACCTGCCTTGACAGAATACGACTGTTTAATATACCTGGAGCCACTTTTAATTCCCAGACGATTCGAAGCAGTCGATTTGCATGAGAGTCATCCAACTATACTGTGGCATCCTTTCAAACAACACTCTAAACAAAAAATACCAGTACTTAATTTTGATCCAGTTCAGCTCTTTCTGCAGGAACTGAGAGTAAGTTAAGTTTATCAAGATTTTTTTCTACACTGTATTTGTTTGTGGATCGCAAATCGTTGCTTGATCGATAATCCAGCTTCCTCTACATAGTTTAAGGAGTAATTTCTATTTAGTACTTTTAACCCTTTGCACTCTGAACGATTCTGGACGTTGGCTATCAGCTACTCAGCGCCACTACGGCAGAAACGAACACTTACAGACCATCGTATTATTTATTATAATTTTGGAACTAAGTAATAATATAATGATATTGGACTTATATGAATTGGTTGAAATCGAAGAAAGTATATTTGCAAAAAAATCAATATTTTATTCTTTATAATTTTGTACAGTATGATAAATTTTGAAACACTCCCCAATATGCATTGCAGGCTGATTAGTGCATGTTTGACAATAATAAGTTGTTTGACGTCTGCCACCAGGTGTTTTCCTGTTAGAACACACAATGCAGTCCCGTTTTCTTTGCCCCACATCGGGAATATGTAGTTTATTGTCTAATCTATTGTCCGCAGAAGATGTGGATGCCTCTCACGTTCTCGTCTGACACAAAACCCGCTGACATGTCTTGTATATCTTAGTATATATCTTAGTAATTTTACGATATTTTGATTTGATATCTTGTGCCATTTCAAGAGAAAACTTCATGTATGTTTCCCTGAAGTTTTCTCTTGAAATGGCACAAGAAATCAAATCAAAATATCGTAAAATTACTAAGATATATACAAGACATGTCAGTGGGTTTTGTGTCAGACGAGAACGTGAGAGGCATCCACATCTTCTGCGGACAATAGATTAGACAATAAACTACATATTCCCGATGTGGGGCAAAGAAAACGGGACTGCATTGTGTGTTCTAACAGGAAAACACCTGGTGGCAGACGTCAAACAACTTATTATTGTCAAACATGCACTAATCAGCCTGCAATGCATATTGGGGAGTGTTTCAAAATTTATTCCCTGAAGTTTTCTCTTGAAATGGCACAAGAAATAATGTCTCAAAGAAGAATGTCTCAAAAAGTTGCGCTGAAATAACTCAATTCCCCCTAATAGCTAATAAACTTGAATGTCCCCTGAGAGGGGACAGCGGAGTGATTTGCTAGAATTACGATGTCCCCTGAGAGGGGACAGCGGAGTGCAAAGGGTTAATTGTACGTATACTTACGACCAGCGTTGTTCATTATCGGCACGCCATTCGTATGAGGGCATCCATAAGTGCTGCTGTAAGTGAAAAATCGACGGACATGCGTTCTTTTGTCGAATACCCGTTCAATCATTTAAAGTGAAGCGAAACACGTCGAGGAACTCGATCGACGTCGATAAAGAAGATTTTTCTAAATACTTACGTTGCCGACGTTCGTTTTTATATTAACAGCTGGGTCGAATTATATTGGGTATTGCACTACATGCCATACTCCACCTGTCGGTTTTGTACAATAATTATAAAGAAATCGAAGTAAAAGTCCAGAAATCCTCTGGATTCATGCTTTCTGGGGCCCTAATTAGCTGCAGAGGGACCCCCTGCGCCATCTGTGATTTCCAGATCAATTAAATTTTCACTCCGAGACCTCGTATTACCATCGTTTTGGCATAGAAGCACATACAACACTTTGTTTGCCTTTATCCCGTTCAAATGCGAGTTTATCGATAACCAGAGTGTTCTAAATTGTCGTAAAATTGTCCTGACCCTTTCGTTTCTCATATCAGAGCCTTTCGATAGTTATAAATTGATCGAAATATGAGAGCTCGATGCCAATTTGGTTCAGGTCTGGGATAAGTTAAAAAATGTTTTAAAAAATCCAAATTTTGAACGTGTCAGGACAATTTTTAGATGATCACGAGTCATGTGTCAAAGTTTCGGACAGTTTGGTCCCATACCTTTAAAAAAAATGTATTCGAATCGACTGTTTTGAAGGGGGTTTCACTTCACCTTAAGTCAAACGTCCTATGTACCTATAATGTTGGTCATACCCTATTAATCATTGAATTCTTTCAGGCTAGTTATGGCGAGTTCACTTTATTCTTCCACGATACGTACGGAGGAGAAGTAATAGCAGTTTTATTAAGGCCTGCTGCTTTAGAAAGTATTGAGTTTAAAGTGCCTCATGTGAAATGCAGAAAACTCAACCCTAGTGGAAAACTAGTCCTGAACGTGGAGGCAATGATAGAAGACTTCTACATCTTGGGGAGAGGACTCGTTAAGAATGTCCAAGTACTTTCTAGAAAAGCGTAATTGCAGAACGGCATGTATTGCAGACATGCTTCCCTTATGTATACTTATGTAACATAGATGTAAAATCTCATATTAAAACAATTTCTATCAATCGAGTATATGTAAATGAGTTATTTGTTCCTTGGTTTTAATGGATTTGAACTTTAACTAAGTGCTAGGCTACGAGTATACTACAACCGATCAGATCCGACTGAAATTTTTTGTAGACGTGACTACCCTTTGTCGGTTAAGGGCGCTCACCACTAGCGATTTTGCAGGGCCTCACGGGGACAACGATTCCGAACGTATTTCTAAACCGATCGAGCTTAACGAGTGCTCATATCGAAGATGAAACGTTGACCCGTGTTTATATCATATAAAAAAGTGCAACGACATAATTTCAATGCCCTTTTACCTAGGAAGGAGGCGCTCGATCGAAAATCGCTCCCATATAAACACACGTCAACGTTTAATCTTTAAAACGAGCACTCGTTGAGCTCGATCGGTTGAGAAATACGCTCAAAATCGTTGTCCCCGTGGAGCACCTTTTTTAGGATTTTCGAGTTTCTCGCGAGGAATTTGGGCCTTCCTTGGCAACCGTTGCCTAGAGTCGGCAGACTCTAGGCGGAGCGTCCAACTGGCGGGTGCGGGCGGCCGGGGGTCACCCACGTTTCGGCGCCTGGTGCAGAGGCGTCTAGCCGTTGTGTGAGTCCTATACGTGCAAAATACGCACACATTTTTCGACCGTTGCTAAACACCGTCCATTGTGCGTCGCGTCTCCCTCATCCGAGCGAGAAAGTACGTTTTGGTTACCTCCTACCGAATTCGATGCCAATGCCATCTAGCGGTGGAAGTCATCGTCCCCACTTTGGTGGTGAACGCCGTTAAGCGAGATCTGTATGAAAATGGAATGTAAAGTAAGTGGGGAGAAGAGGAAAGAGTCCTCTCAAAGGTCCAATTCTACGAAAAGACAAAAGTTCGTAACGACTTTTTTTCTTTACTTGCTAAGCGTGTGACATGATGATGTATTTACAAGAATAAGCTTCCGCGCAATCCGAGTGTCTTTACCATTAAGCACCCTTACGGGCATTACTATGTGAATAAGTAATTAAATAACAATTCATCGATACGATACGAATTAAAAATTAAAACCAATCACAGCTTACAAGTATAGTAGAAATCTAAAGGTTGAACTACGTTAGACCAGCCTGAAGAAATTCGTACGTGGTATCGAATAGAAATTCCGTTAATGATGAATAGAGTCGGTCTTGGTCTTGCACCGTCCTGCTTTACAAAAAGTACATATTCAAGACCAAGACAGATTTTTCCGATCGCTAAATTCCACCTGGACCGGTCGATCCGGGTCGATTCCGTCCAATTAAGATATGTGCACTTATATCTAAAACCACATATTTAATTCAACCGCATTTTTCCGGGCCGGTCTAATGTATTTCAACTTTAAGAGCGACAAGAGGAGAGTGGCATGCAATCGTATTTCCGTAGAAAGCGAAAGCCGAGGGATTTTTACACGCCAGTACAGGCCCGTACAGATAAAAATTCCAACGCCATAAGTGCCGGTATTAGCTGGTGGCGCCGGTGGCAATTCGGAGAAGTTTTCAGTAATAGTCGACGTCATGATTAATTCTCGAGGTCGACGCCGGCAAAGAATTCAGAAGTCTCCATAGAAGCCCAGAAGGATACGAACATTCGATGCTGGACAAATAGTATGTTAGCCAACGGATGGCGGCGCTGCAATCACCTCTCCATCTTATGGCGATATATAGCAAATTGCATTCTTTCTTTATCTTATAATACTCGCCTTTTTATATGCGTCTCTCTTTTTCCCATATGTGAGATATCGTTGGCTAACTCATGCGATTTTTCTTTTACTCCCACTTCTGTTTTGTTAGTCAACTTTTAGAGCATCAAGCGCTAATATAGGATCTGGGCTTTTAAGGGACTTCTGAATTCTTTGATGCCGGCAAAGAATTCAAAAGTCTCCATAGAAGCCCAAGATACGAACGTTCGATGCTGGATAAATAGTTTGTTAGCCAACGGATGGCGGCGCTGTAATCACCTCTCCATCTCAATCTTATGGCGATATATAGCGAATTGTATTCTTTCTTTCTTATAATACTTGCTTTTCTATATGCGTCTCTCTTCCTCCCATATGTGAGATACCGTTGGCTAACTCATGCGATTTTTCTTTTACTCCCACTTCTGTTTCGTTAGTCAACTTTTAGAGCATCAAGCGCTAATATAGGATCTGGGCTTCTATAGGACTTCTGAATTTTTGGATGCCGGCAAAGAATTCAAAAGTCTCCATAGAAGCCCAAGATACGAACGTTCGATGCTGGATAAATAGTTTGTCAGCCAAAGGATGGCGGCGCTGTAATCACCTCTCTATCCCAATCTTATGGTGACATATAGCAAATTGCATTCTTTCTTTATCTTATAATACTCGTCTTTCTATATGCGTCTCTCTTTTTCCCGTATGTGAAATATCGTTGGCTAACTCATGCGATTTTTCTTTTACTCCCACTTCTGGTTTGTTAGCGAACTTTTAGGGCATCAAGCGCTAACATAGAAGCCCAGAAGGATACGAACGTTCGATGCTGGACAAATAGTATGTTAGCCAACGGATGGCGGCGCTGTAATCACCTCGCCATCTCAATCTTATGGTGATATATAGCAAATTGCATTCTTTCTTTATCTTATAATACTCGCCTTTCTATATGCGCCTCTCTTTTTCCCGTATGTGAGATATCGTTGGCTAACACAAGTGATCTTTCTTTTACTCCCACTTCTGGTTTGTTAGTCAACTTTTAGAGCATCAAGTGCTAACATAGGATCTGGGCTTCTATGGGACTTTTGAATTCTTTGATGCCGGTGCCCATACGAGTCAAATGACAATCTCTTTAATAGACCACCTTCATGTAACGCGAGACAATGCCAACGATTATCTTGGAAACAATTATGCTGTACCGGCTAAATTCAACGATCCCGAACAGCATTGACTATGGCGTTCGGCCGCATGGAAATTTCAGTCTGTACGGGGCGTATGTTGAATCTCTACAAATTTATTCCAAGAGGACTTCAAAGCTTATTGAAAATTTATTCATAGTAGAATTACACGGATTTCCATACAGTGCATGTTCCTTCGTAGACCGTTCTCCTCTTTCGCATTACACTCTTAGACACCACCGTAGAATTTAGAAGCATATTACGAAAACAATTCAATTATTATATACATAATTTCATTTCAATGGTTAGATAATAAATTTAATGTAGAACATGAAAGAATAAGATGCTAACCGCACCTGCGAATTCCATAGTGCAGCCACAGAGATCTCGAGATAAATTCTCGCTTAAATTCGTTGAATAGAAAAATTAGACTCGCACCCTCTGAAGAATAGCCTTTCTTTATATGCGTACGTATATTACGAAATAGTTGACGGAATAGTAGCAGAACTGGGAAGGATAACGCGACCTACTCAAGGGATACACTGTGACAACTATATTCAACGATACGTGAAATCGCAAGGGCTCCAACAACGAACCAAATAATAATGCAGGAACCTATTGTAAAACCCAAGAAACCTTCTACCATAAATCATGTCCCGAAGATTCTCGCTTCCACTTAAGTTACCGATAAATTCCATTAATCCATTAAAAGTCGCCGCTTAACTGAACATTCCACTTTCCAGTTATTATCTTTATCGAATACCAGAGGGTCTTGTTCTGTCGAAGGATATTTCTGGCAAAGGCGTATAAACGTAGCGTTCCATTATTTTTGCGTTTCATGTCGCCCTCCGGAATAATTCGAAAGCAATGATTATACAAATTGAAAGGAAAGTCCTTGCTCCTCGTGAGAGATTAAGGTGAAGTGAAACACGTCGAGGAACTTGATCGACGTCGATAAAGAAGATTTTTCTAAATGCCTACGTTGCCGACGTTCGTTTTTATATTGACAACTGTGTCGAATTATATTGGGTATTGTACCAAATGGCATACGCCACCTGCCGTTTTCGTACAATAAATATGAAGAAATTGAAGTAAAACTCTAGAAATCCTCTGGATTCATGCTTTCTGGGGCCCTAATTGACTGCAGAGGGACCCCCTGCGCCATCTGTGATTTCCAGGTCAATTAAATTTTCTCTCCGAGACTTCGTATTACCATCGTTTTGGCATAGAAGCGCATACAACACTTTTTTGCCATTATCCCGTTCAAATGCGTGTTTATCGATTACCAGAGTGTTTTAAATTGTCGTAAAATTGTCTTGACCCTTTCGTTTCTCATATCAGAGCCTTTGATAATTATATATTGATCGAAATATCAGAGCTCGACGCCATTTTGGTTCTGCTTTGGATTGTTAAAAAATTTTTTTGAAAAATCCAAATTTTTAATGTGTCAGGACAATTCTTAGATAATCACGAGTCATGTGTCAAAGTTTCGGACTGTTTGGCCCAATACCCTTAAAAAAAGTGTTGTATTCAAATCGACTGATTTGAAGGGGGTTTCACTTCACCTTAAGGTGATGTGAAACACGTTGAGGAACTTGATCGACGTCGATAAAGAAGATTTTTCTAAATACCTACGTTGCCGACGTTCGTTTTGATATTGACAACTGTGTCGAATTATATTGGATATTGTACCAAATGGCATACTCCACCTGCCGTTTTCGTACAATAAATATGAAGAAATTGAAATAAAACTCTAGAAATCCTGTGGATTCATGCTTTCTGGGGCCCTAATTGACTGCAGAGGGACCCCCTGCGCCATCTGTGATTTCCAGGTCAATTAAATTTTCTCTCCGAGACTTCGTATTACCATCGTTTTGGCATAGAAGCGCATACAACACTTTTTTTGCCTTTATCCCGTTCAAATGCGAGTTTATCGATTACCAGAGTGTTCTAAATTGTCGTAAAATTGTCCTGACCCTTTCGTTTCTCATATCAGAGCCTTCGATAATTGTATATTGATCGAAATATGAGAGCTCGACGCCATTTTGGTTTTGGTGTGGACTGAGTTAAAAAATGTTGTCCAAAAACCAAATTTTGAATGTGTCAGGACAATTCTTAGATGATCATGAGTCATGTGTCAAAGTTTCG